TGAGTGAAAGTATTCCGAATACTGACGGATACGGAGAGCTGCTAAGGCAGTGCGAAGGATCGCTTTCGGGCGATTTCGGTCGTCATTGGCTGCTCGAGAAACACGTTCCTGGGAGAGTCGATCAGGAAAGGAAAACTGGTGAGTCGACTCACGAGAGTCAAGCAGAAGATGAAACTGCGCGGAGATGGCTTAGGAGTCAAGCAGAAAAAGATGCCTCGAATTCGTTTGAAGCTACTCGCTCATCCGCGCTTGCTACCTTCTCTTCTGCGGTTTGCCACTCATCGCTGCGATTCCTTGTGCGAATGCGCACTGATGGCGCGCGCATGCGCACTGACGGTGCGCGCATGCGCACTGTTGGTGTGCGCCAACCCGCCCAGCTTGCGCCGGACGCGATCCACGAAGCTGGCATGCGGGCAAAAGGCGCTACCTCAGCGAGGGGATTCAAAAATCGCTGGACTACTATAATGCGGAATGAGGATAATCCAGCGGCTTTTGTTAGCCAGGGGATGTGTGACGCGTCACGACGACTCACAACACGAGAATGCGCGGCTAACAGGGATGGAGGAACTGAAACGAGGAGAGAGGTGAGAGGAGAAGAATGCTGACGTTCGATCGTGGCCGTCGGTATACTTATGTGTCAGGGGCAGGGAGATTTCTATGCAGCGCACTTCGCGGAGGGGTCACCTCAAATGGAACGCGGTGACTTTCGGGCAGACTCTCCGGTATTTCTTGTTACAATCGTCCGATTTTGAAGTGAAAAGAATCCGACGGTTAAAGATGGTCTGAGAAGCATGTTGAGCTGACCCGTGAGGGTGATGCTTTGTGGTTTGGTGGTGACGGCAGCGACGTCAATTATTGCATGTGTGTAAGGAAAATTCCTTTTCCTTACTTCGCGTCCCTGCTCAGCGCGTACATTACTATTCCCGCCAACAGCACCCAACAGTAATCCGTTACCACTCGCGACACTCGCCTCGACACTGTTCCCGCCACTGTTCACGACGCGACCCAACCTCACGGTTCGGTTGGTAACCCGCGCTCCGGACCTCCGCCTCGACAATTCCCAACCTCGGCGCCAGGCCCGTCGCGCACCCCATTTTCCACGCATTACCGTTACCACTGTAGTTTCGCTATATATTCTTCGCTCATGCCTTCGCCCATTGTACTTTTGCTTCGATAGTGCAATTCTCGCTCGCTCACTCGATTGCACTCGTAACACTTGGTATTCAGAGCCTACGATCTCTTCTCGGACCGCACCCACACCTTCGCTTCCCCACTATCTCAATTTTTTGGGGGGGTAGACGTCTCTCAGCGACACAGCACCGCCGCTCGTAGTGCTCTCTCGTAAGCACGCACGGCCACGACAGAGGCTCTCGCTGAGTTCGCCCGACACCCCCGCCATGGCCGAATTCACTCTCGCAACATTGACGCAGGAGCAGCTCGACCGTCTGGTGCGCCAAGTTGAAGATTCGGCGCTCGAAATTGCGACGCTCACGGCGGAACGTGACTCCGCGCGTCAGCACTCTATGACGAACGCTCCAGCATCACAAAATGCACCTACACAATCGGACGAGCCGATCGTCGTCTCGTCCGGCACACCAACACAACATGACAGCGTGGGACAGCGCTCAGGAGCAGCCAGTGATAGCGCCGCCCAACCAATGCCTGGCATGGGAGGAAACAGGGTCGCGCCAAGCCCGCGGGAGCCTCGCGAAGCCCGTCGGCACGTGGAGTTCGCGGCGACAAGTGGCGAACAGGCCATCATGGCACCAATGCCACTCAAGCCGCAACGCCCGCCCTGCTTCGACCCGAGCCAGCGTGGAGGTCCGACGGTTCAATCGTGGGTCTTCACGATGAACGTCTTCTTCGACGCGAATTACGTCGAGTCGGGCGCAGCGAAGATTCGGTATGCCGTTTCGCTGCTCAGGGGCCCCGCCATGGACTGGTGGCGAGTCATCGTGACGTCGCCACGCGCCTACGAGCCACCGTCGCAAGAGGAAGGGCCTACGGGTCCAGCTGTCACCTGGAGTTCATTCTGCGAAACCGCCCAATACAGCACGTGGGATGCGTGGTGCGCAGGGCTTCGGGCGCGCTTCGAGCCGATCGCGGCTTCTATTTCGGCGCGTCAGAGATTGCGCACTTGGCGGCAGCTCGGGTCGGTTCAAGATTATACGAGCGGTTTTCTCGCACTTTGCGAGCAGGTCGGCTACATGCACGAAGCGGAGCGGGTGGACCGTTACGTCGGAGGGCTGAAGCCGGACATCTCGCACGAGATCATGCTACGCGGGCTCTCGAACTTCAACGAGATTCTCGCGCTCGCCGAGAAAATCGACATCCTACGCCGACCGGGACCGGGGTCCTACTACGGACATCGTCCTCGGGGGCCGACTGAGCATGCCACTGTACACGCTGTTGCGACGAATGCAGCTGCCACGCCATTTAAGGGGCGCTGCTTTGCTTGTAACAGGCCGGGCCATCGCAAGAGCGAATGCCCAGAGGAGCTGAGGCGCCGCGGAGCAGAGCAGGGGAGGGAGTCTCAGAGGCAGGGAAACGCCAGCAGTCAGTAGGAGTCGGGCCAACTACTGACGAGACTGCCTGCTCGCCCAACCACACCGACCCTCACCGAGTCACAGTACCGATTCACGCCATCGATCGGGCTCGGATGAATAAGGAGGGTACAGCGACGGATTGCCCAGTACTAATCCACGGGAAAATACAGGGAGCAGCAGTGAAGATATTTATCGACGGAGGAGCAAGCCACAGTTTAGTTAATACCGCAACCGCAAGGAAACTGAAACTGACTCTTAGCCGGTGCTTACCAGAGATCGACGCACGCTTAGTTGACGGCACGCCGCTGGCCATACGGGAGAAGGTGGAAAGAGTAAAAGTTCGCTGCGGGGGGAACTTCGGGTTTACACAGGAAATGCTCGCGACGACACTGGATGGGCACGACATTTTACTGGGACGTGATTGGCTGCGGCGGTATAACCCGCGAATCGACTGGACGACGGGTAGCTGCACTGTGCGAAGTAGCGGTAACTGGGTCGCGCTACCTCGCTGGCAGTCGCCCGAGTCTTCAACGGTCCACGTCAACGCCATCACGATGAAACGGGCTGTCGCCGCTGGAGCTGACGTGTACGCAGTGGATATAGCATTAGTAGGAGCAGCAGAGCAGCCGAGCGATTTTCAGAAACTGTTGGCAGCAGTACCGCCCGATCTACATGAACTGTTGAAACGGTACCCAGGGATTTTTCCGGACGATTTACCGGAGGGGCTGCCACCTCAGCGAGCACACGACCACCGCATAGAGTTAGAACCCGGGGCACAGCCAACCGTACAACGACAGTTCAGACTGACACAGCCCGAGCTCGACGAACTAAGGAAGCAGTTAGACTACCTGTTAGAAAAGAAATTCATCCGACCGAGCTCGTCACCGTTCGCCGCACCGATACTGTTCACACCGAAAAAAGACGGAGGGTTTCGCATGTGTCAAAACATATGCATAATTGTATCTAGGCTATATTGGGGCTAGCCTTAGGGGGTACACAAATAGTCTCGACACTCTAGTCTTGTACCCCAATCTTCACCTTTTCTCGTTCCCTAGCTAGTGATTCTAACATGGTATTAAGAGCACAATGCTCCTTAGGACCGATTTTTTAAAAAGGGCCCACCACTACTATTTCGATCTACTGCCCGAGTCGCGCCCCTAGGAGAAATGCGAAATTCGAAACCGTGCTCTAGGCCAGACGGTTCCCTAGGCGCGATTTTTTTTCCTCCTAGTCACGTGCGACCCCCCCCTGAACGCGTAGGCCCGTCGCGAAGCCCGTACAGCCCACGTAGGCCCGTCGCGAAGCCCGTACAGCCCGCGTAGGCCCGTCGCGAAGCCTGTACAGCCCGTGTAGACCCGTCGCGAAGCCCGTACAGCCCGCACCAGGCCGTCGCGCAGCCCGTACAGCCCGCGCCAGGCCGTCGCGCAGCCCGTACAGCTCACGTCAGGCTCGCACCCAGCGCGTAAAGCCCGCGCCAGGCCCGCACGCAGCCCTTACAGCCCGCGACTGGCCCGCACGCGGCCCGTGTTACTGTTACTCACTGCTGCTGCTACTGAAGCTAGTGCTGCTACAACTAGTGCTACTGCTGCCACTGCTACTACGGCACTTGCTACAGCTACTATTGTCTGAAACTACTCCAGCTACAGCTAGTGCTACTGCTGCAGCTCCTACTACTACACTTGCTACAGCTAGTGCTACTGCTGCAGCTCCTACTACTACCCTTGCTACAGCTAGTGCTACTGCTGCAGCTCCTACTACTACACTTGCTACAGCTAGTGCTACTGCTGCAGCTCCTACTACTACACTTGCTACAGCTAGTGCTACTGCTGCAGCTCCTACTACTACACTTGCTACAGCTAGTGCTACTGCTGCAGCTCCTACTACTACACTTGCTACAGCTAGTGCTACTGCTGCAGCTCCTACTCCAGCGCTTACTGCAGCTGCTCCTGACTGAAGCTACTGCTGCTACAGCCCCTGAAGCAGCCGCCCCTGGTGCAGCCGCCCCTGGACCCTAGAGCAGCCGCCCCGGGCCCCTGAAGTAGCCGCCCCTGGTGCAGCCGCCCCTGGACCCTAGAGCAGCCGCCCCTGGCCCCTGAAGCAGCCGCCCCTGGTGCAGCCGCCCCTGGACCCAGAGCAGCCGCTTTGCACGCCCTCGCGTGCCCCTAGCGTACCGGCCCCGCCCCACTAGCCCGCCCTTGCTGGCCTCGTGCGACCAGGCCCCGCCCTAGCTAGCTAGCCACCTCGTGCCCCGTGCGGACCGCCCCACTCTGCCCTGCACGCCCTCACGTGCCCCACCTCGAATAGCCGCTGCCTAGCCGAGCCGAGCCGCCCCACCGAACCGCGTCACCCGGCCCGAGCCGCGCCGCCCTACCGAGCCGCGCCCCTGATTCTGTCACTGCTACTGTCACTACTGCTGTTTCTGCTACTACTACTACTACTGCTCCTACTGTCGCTATGGCTAGCCCCCCTGTGCTAGCTTTCGATGTTGAGGGCCGCCCAGTGAAGTTTGACACCTGGCTCGATGACCTGCACCTATTCCTACAACTCACTGCCAAGGAAGACATCTCACTGTACGATCACGCCTTAGGCCATGCCACTGCCCCTGCTGCTACTGCTGACAGCACTGCCCGCTCACAGTGGCAGACTCGTGACGCCCACGCTCGCTTTGCTATTCGCAACTCCCTGCCGATAGATGAGCGCGAGCACTTTGGCCAGCACAAGACTGCACAGGCACTGTACACCGCTGTCGTTGCCCGCTACTCCTCACCTGCCTCTGCCGCGCTAGGCCGTCTCTCACTCCCCTACCTGTTCCCCGACCTGGCCTCTTTCCACACAGTCGCTGACCTCATCACGCACCTCCGTACTAGTGAGGCCCGCTTCCGTGCCGCTATGCCCGATGAGTTTCTTGCCACGAACCCCCCCCCCGCTCTGGCTCACTCTCTACCACCTAGTCACTTGCCTCCCTGACACTCTGCGTGCAGTCAGGGATCACTTCCTATCTCGCTGCCCCACTGAGCTCACCATTGCCCTCCACGAGAAGGAACTCCTTGCAGCTGAGGCTAGCATAGTCGCTGTAGGTGCCTCTCGTGGCGACCCCCGCACCCCTTTCTTTGAGGGGTGTTCCCCTTCCCCCCTTCTTCCCTCTGTAGCCTCTGCTTCTGCTGCCGACCTCCTTGGTGCTGAGAAGGTCGGGACTGCGTCCACTTCGAGCTGGCGCCGCAGCGGCAAGGGCAAAGGGGGCAAGGGAGGCGGAGGTGACGGCGGGGGAGGCGGTGGTGGGGGCGGTGGAGGCGGTGGGGGTGGTGGTGGGGCTGGAGGGACTAGTGGCAGCGGTGGGGGTGGTGGCGGCAGCGGCGGGGGAGGTGGCAGGGGCGGGGGCGGTGGTGGGGGCGGCGGTGGTCGTGGCGGCGGCAGGGGAGGGGGTGGTCGAGGAGGTGGCGGCGGCGGTGGTGGTCGTGGAGGCGCTGGCAGTGGCCAGAGCCAGCAGCGCACTCTGTCGCCCCAGGAGCTCCGTGAGTGGTACTCTCAGCACGGGGGGGGGGGTGGCCTTAGCTGCACGTACGTCATCCGCACTGGTGACCGCACTGGTCAGACGTGTGGGAGGGCGCACACCACGCAGCGCTGCTTCTCTCGCCTCGACGACGCTTGGCGTACTCAGTTCCCTGATGCCACTGAGCTGCCCCGCTGGGCTGATCTGATGAAAAAGAACATTGATATCTATGCTCTAGACTTTGATGCTATTCTCACTGCCATGTATGTGATGTCTACTAGTGGAGAGAGTGCTCAGTACCTGCGTGTTCCGCCCGACCCGGGCATTCGGACCAGTGAGGCTACCGCTCTAGGTGCTGGTGAGGCTGCTGCTCTAGGTGCTAGTGAGTCTGCGCCCCCTGGTACTGAGTCGACTGAGGCACTACACACCTTCACACTGGACTCAGGTGCTTCTCGCTGTTTCTTTCGTGACCGCACTACCCTTGAGCCGCTTGCTCGGCCAGTTGCTGTCTCCCTTGCTGACCCCTCTGGGGGTCCGGTCATTGCGACCTCCTCCACTGTCCTTCCTTGTCCTGCGGTCCCGTCGGGCACACTGTCAGGTCTCCACCTCCCCTCGTTCTCTACGAACTTGGTGGCGGGTTGTGCGCTCCAGGACGGGGGTGTTCACCAGTTCACCCCTGCCTACGAGCGCATGACACACTGCACGTGTGCTCGGACGGGCCGTCACCTGGCTACCTTCACTCGGCAGCCGGGGTCGGACCTGTACACACTGACAACTGAGTCCCCTCAGGTAGCTGCGTCTGCGTCTGCGTCGGGTCAGCTGTCGGCCCCCTGCTCGTGTCGCTCTCTGGCGCACGAGACCGTCCTCTGGCACCACCGACTTGGTCACCCGTCTGTGCAGCGCCTTCGTGCCATGCATAAACGGTACCTTGTCTCTGGTCTTCCCAGGGTTCTCCCTCCCCTCCCACCCTCGCCTGCTCCTCCCTGTCTTCCCTGTGTCGAGGGGCGGCAGCGCGCCGCTCCTCACTCCTCCTCGTTTCCCCCGACGTCTGCTCCCTTGCAGACGCTCCACATGGACGTGTGGGGCCCAGCCCGCGTCCGTGGTCAGGGTCAGGAAAGGTACTTCCTGATAGTTGTTGACGACTACTCGCGCTACACCACGGTCTTCCCCTTGCGCACCAAGGGTGAGGTCCCTGATGTTTTGATCCCTTGGATCCGCGCTTCTCGTCTCCAGCTCAGCGAGCGTTTCCACTCGGACTTTCCTGTCCTGCGCTTGCACTCTGACAGAGGTGGTGAGTTCTCCTCCGACCTCTTGGCAGCCTACTGTGCGGAGCACGGCATCCGCCAGTCGTTCACGCTTCCGGCCTCTCCACAGCAGAATGGGGTTGCTGAGCGCCGCATTGGCTTGGTCATGGAGGTCGCTCGTACCTCCTTGATCCATGCGGCTGCCCCCCACTTTCTGTGGCCGTTTGCGGTCCGATACGCTGCGCATCAGCTCAACCTCTGGCCCCGTGTCTCCTTGCCGGAGACTTCCCCGACACTGCGTTGGACGGGAGAGGTTGGCGATGCGTCGCGTTTTCGGGTCTGGGGATCTCGAGCTTTTGTTCGCGATACGTCCGCGGACAAGCTCTCCTCCCGTGCTGTTCCTTGTGTCTTCCTTGGCTTTGTCCCGGACGCGTCTGGTTGGCAGTTTTACCACGCCACCTCGCGCCGTGTCCTGCCCTCACAGGACGTCACTTTTGACGAGTCCGTGCCCTACTACCGCCTCTTCCCCTACCGCACTGCCCCGCTCCCCCCCCCGCCTCTCTTCCTCGCCCCAGGTGCTGCTATGGTAGACCCCCTCCCCCCTCAGGGTGCCGCTCCCTCAGGTGTGTCCCAGGTAGACCCGGTTGAGCCTGTCGAGGTAGCTGTCGACTCTCGTCCTGCTAGGGGTGCTGAGCCTGAGCGTGCGGAGCCTGGGGGTGCGGAGCCTGGGGGTGCGGAGCCTGGGGTTGCGGAGTCTGGGGGTGCTGCGTCTGGGGGTGCTGAGTCTGGGGGTGCTGAGTCTGGAGGTGCTGAGCCTGGGAGTACTACACCTGGAGGAGCTCTCTCCTCACAGCAGCTGCGTGAGTGGTACTTACAGTACTGCAGCCTCAGGAGAGGTGCCTCTGGAGCTAGGAGTGCTGCTAGAGCTGGTGCTAGTGCTTCCCCTCCTAGGCGGGAGCTGCCCTCTCCCCAGCGGCTCCGAGAGTGGTACGCGCGGCGCTGCAGTCTCCGGAGTGGCGCTCCTAGTGTCGCGGACCCTGGTGCTGGAGGTGCTACTGCTACTGGCGGTGCTGCTGGTGCTCCTGGAGGTGCTGCTGGTGCTGGTGCTACTGACGCTGCTGGAGGTACTGCTGGTACTGGTGGTACTGCTGGTGCTGCTGGAGCTGCTAGAGGTACTCCTACTACTGGAGCTGCTGCTGGTGCTGAGGACCCGGGTGTTGGAGCTGCTGCTGGTGCTGCGGACCCTGGAGTTGGAGCTGCTGCTGGTGCTGCCGACCCTGGAGTTGGAGCTGCTGCTGGAGCTGAGGACCCTGGAGTTGGAGCTGCTGCTGGTGCTGCGGACCCGGGAGCTGGTGCTGCTGGTGTAGCTGGAGACCTTGGAGCTGAGGGTACTGGTGGTGCCTCTGCTGGTTCTGGAGGCGCTGCGCGGCCGCGGCCGTACTTCGTTCCGCTCCTTCAGCAGGTTCTTGGTCAGCCGCCTCCCCCTAGTCCTGCTCCCTCCTTAGAGTGTCCTCCGCCTGTCCAGTCGCAGTCACAGTTACCGCCTGCCTCGCCACTCCCTGGTCCTTCTCCTTACACTGGTCCGACTGGAGGTCTTACAGAGCGTCGTGAGCCTGAGTCTCGTCCTGCGTCGCCAGAGTCTCGTCGTGCGTCACCTGTTCGTGCTGCTCACACTGGTCGTCGTGTTCCGCGTCAGCGGCCTCCTGCTGTCCCAGGCACTCACCAGATGGCACTTCGTCCTTCCACTGCTCCTCAGCGTGTCCCTCTGCCGTCTCCTCCTGCGTCTTCTCTTCCTACTCTTGCTGACCCGGAGTCTGACTCCCTTCGTGCTGCCAGTCCTACTGTCACGCGTCTCCTCGCCACTGTTGTCACTGACCCTTCCTTTGAGTCCTCTGCTGCGTCTGCTCTAGTCGCTGAGTTAGTTGACTTTGCTGCCGCTTGTCGTCTAGACTACGCCGCTAGCCTTGTCGCTGAGTCTGAGTCTGAGTCTGTCTGTCCTTCGTCCGTCGGGGGTGAGTGTGCTCTTGGCACGGACGTCCTTGAGGACAGGCAGGAGGAGTTTGAGTGCTTTGCCGCTGCGTTACCTCATCTCGTGTCCATGCTGGTTGCCCCTGAGGGAGACCCGGATGCTCCAGACATCCCGACCCCGCGCTCTTACGCTGAGGCGATCGCGGGTGAGTACTCCTCTCAGTGGCAGACAGCCATGGATGCAGAGATGGCTTCTTGGAAGTCCACAGGCACCCCCCACCTGGGGCGAACATCGTCAGTGGCATGTGGATTTTCAGGGTGAAGCGGCCGCCGGGTTCTCCGCCTGTCTTCAAGGCGCGTTACGTTGCACGAGGCTTCAGTCAGCGAGAGGGAGTTGACTTCTTCCAGACCTTCTCCCCGACCCCGAAGATGACCACTCTTCGGGTTCTGCTGCACGTCGCCGCTCAGCGTGACTACGAGCTCCACTCTCTTGACTTCAGCACAGCTTTCTTGCAGGGCAGCCTGCACGAGGAGATCTGGCTGCGCCGCCCACCTGGCTTCACTGGGTCGTTCCCTCCTGGTACCCAGTGGAGCCTCCGACGGCCAGTCTACGGTCTCCGCCAGGCGCCGCGTGAGTGGCACGACACACTGAGGACTACACTTGCGGCTCTTGGGTTCGCTCCTTCTACTACTGACCCGTCGCTGTTTCTACGCTCCGACACTTCACTGCCGCCGTTCTACATCCTCGTGTACGTCGACGACTTGGTCTTTGCCATTGCTGACACTACGGCACTCGCCCACGTGAAGTCGGAGCTGTAGAAGAGACACACGTGCACAGACCTGGGTGAACTGACAAGCTATCTTGGCTTGCGGATCACCCGGGACAGAGCACGGCGCACCATCACCTTGACTCAGTCACACATGGTGCAGCAGGTCCTTCAGCGCTTCCGCTTCACGTACTCCTCGCCTCAGCCCACTCCTCTGCCTACCGGTCACTCGCTCTCAGCTCTGCCTTCGGATGAGTCCGTAGAGCCGAGTGGCCCGTATCCAGAGCTTGTGGGCTGCCTCATGTACCTGATGACCTGCACTCGACCTGACCTTGCATACCCTCTTAGCATCCTTGCACGCTATGTCGCTCCTGGTCGTCACCGGAAGGAGCACATGGATGCCGCTAAGAGGGTGTTGCGTTACTTGTGCAGTACGTCGGGCATGGGGCTAGTGCTTGGAGGACGAGACCGAGTTGTACTCACTGGGCACTCAGACGCTTCTTGGGCTGACGACCAGGCTACTCAGCGGTCGTCTCAGGGTTACACCTTCAGCCTTGGCTCTGGTTCTGTTTCTTGGCGTTCTACACGCTCGTCTTCCGTTCTCAGCTCCAGTTGTGAGGCTGAGATCTACGCCACAGCCATGGCTGCACAGGAGTTACGCTGGCTCACCTACCTGCTGACCGACTTGAGAGAGCGGCCTCGTTCTCCTCCAGTGCTGTACGTCGACAACAAGGCTACCATTGCCTTGTGTGAGGAGCACAGACTGGAGCACAGAACGAAGCATATCGCTCTACGGTACTTCCTTGCTCGAGAGCTGCAGCAGCGTGGTCAGCTTCGTCTGCGTTACGTGGCCACTCGGGCCAACACTGCTGATGTGTTCACCAAGGCGCTTCAGCCTTGTGACCATCAGCGCTTCTGTACTGTTCTAGGCCTTGTGCCTACTGTGCCTCACTTGCTTACTTCTTGACTCTGTTTGTACTGTGATCTCTATATATATACCTGCATACTTACACTTGCTAGGTTGTGCTCACTGTACCCCTTGCTATATTATTAAACTGCATGTGAACTGGTCTTGTGACCACTTGCTTGTGCTCGGAATTTGTGTGGTTTCCTCGAGATCCACCCTGAGCTTGCTTTGCCCTTCCTGACTGGTCTTGTGACCACTACTTGCTCTGGCTATCCCCCATTTCGCCTATGGGGGTGTGTCAAAACATATGCATAATTGTATCTAGGCTATATTGGGGCTAGCCTTAGGGGGTACACAAATAGTCTCGACACTCTAGTCTTGTACCCCAATCTTCACCTTTTCTCGTTCCCTAGCTAGTGATTCTAACAGCATGTGCATCGATTACCGAGCACTGAACAGGGTAACAGTCAAATCGCGATACCCCATTCCCCGCGCCGACGAACTGATCGACCAACTGCGAACAGCACGGGTGTTTTCGAAAATAGATTTACGGGGAGGTTACCATCAGATTAGGGTCGAACCATCGGACTGCGCCAAAACAGCTTTCAGGACTAGATACGGGTCATTCGAGTACACAGTGATGCCTTTCGGGCTGACCAACGCACCAGCGACATTTCAGATGACCATGAACGAGGCGTTTAGGCCACTTTTAGATAAATGCGTGATAGTTTACCTCGACGACATACTCGTCTACAGCAGGGATAAGCAGCAGCACTTAGCAGATCTGGAAGCGGTTTTTTAAGTTTTAGACGAGCATCGCCTACTGACCAAGGGTTCCAAGTGCGAGTTCTTCTAGGATAGGTTGGAATTTTTGGGGCACGTCATTTCGAAGGCTGGGGTTGAAATCGACCCAAAGAAGCTGGACACGGTCAAAGCCTGGCACCCCCCGACGAATATCATGGAGCTGCAGAGTTTTTTGGGGTTTGTTACTTACGTCCGTCGGTTCGTCCCCGACATGGCTCGCTTAACCGCCCCACTGACGGATCTGCTGCGAAAGGGGGTCGCTTTTACGTGGGGGGAGAAAGAGCATGCTGCCTTCTCTGCCCTAAAAACTGTTCTCTGTTCACCGCCCGTCCTGCGCATCGCCGACCCACACCGCCCCTTCGAGGTTGTTACAGACGCAAGCGACATCGCCATTGGAGCCGTACTGCTACAGGATTTCGGCAACGGCCTACAGCCCATCGCATACGAGTCACGAAAGCTGCACCCGCCCGAGAAAAACTACCCGATACACGACCGCGAAATGCTCGCGATCGTGCATGCGTTCAAGGTGTGGCGCTGTTACTTGACCGGCGCAGACGTGACCGTACGGACGGATAACCGATCACTATAGTACCTCCGCGCACAGCCCCACCTCAACCCACGACAGATCCGCTGGCTCGATTTCCTCGAGTCGAATTTCCACTACACGGTCACTTACAAAAAAGGAGCATCCAACATCGCTGACGCACTGACCCGCCCTACTGCCCAAATCCACGCGATACTACTCGCCCAGACCAGCCCGCTACTGACCGGACTATTTACCCACGGATATCAAACGGACCCATTCTTCACAGGAGGAAATTCGCAGCAGTTCGCAGCAGCCAAGGGAGTCTATTACGTAAAAGCCGGGACCGACCGCATCTGGGTACCAGGGTACACCCTGCTACGGGAGTTACTATTACAGGAGGCTCACGACGGAGTTACCTCGGGACATTTCGGGGTAGAGAAAACACGGCAGCAGCTACAGCGGTATTATTACTGGCCCGAAATGTTGACCGACGTGCAGCGACACGTGGCATCGTGTCCCACTTGCCAGATCATGAAGTCGTCACGGAAGCGGCCGGCGGGACAGTTGCAGCCGATCCCACCCCCAGAGCTTGCTTGGCAGCAGGTGACAATGGACTTCGTCACGGGGTTACCGGCCGGAGCAAGTGGGAATGACGCGATCCTGGTCGTCGTCGATCGACTGACGAAAATGGCACACTTCGCAGCCTGCAAAAAATCAATCACAGCCGAAGAAACAGCCCGCCTCTTCATCGCTACCGTCGTTCGACTGCACGGGATACCAGCATCGATCATCAGCGACCGAGACACGAAATTCACCAGCAACTTCTGGCGGAACCTGTGGCAGCAGTTCGGCACGCGACTACAGTTCAGTTCATCATACCACCCCGAAACCGACGGACAGACCGAACGGACAAATCAAACCATGGAACAGCTCATCCGGGCCACGTGCGATGACCCGAACGTGGGAACAGCAACTGCCACTCATCGAGTTCGCATACAACAACTCACCATCCGCCACGACCCAACAGTCACCGTTTTACCTGAACTACGGACAAGACCCAACAGTACCCATGACCCCGAATCCCGACAATCCAGTTCCACGCGCACAACAGTTCGCCGAAATTTTGCAAGCAGCACGGACCAGGGCAGCAGACGCAATTAAAAAAGCTAACGTCATCGCTAAACGCAACGCCGACCGCCACCGCCGACCAGTCACTTACCAGCCAGACGACCTCGTACTACTCGACACTCAAAACCTCCGCCTGCCCATTACCCCAAAACTCCGCCCCCGATATTGCGGGCCGTTTCGCATAAGCCACATGATCACACCCGTCACCGCCCATCTCCTCCTCCCTGCTGACTGGTACGTCAGCCCGTCATTCCACGTCAGCCTGCTCCGCCCATATGTGCCATCCACCAGTCAACTGCCCCGCAACCGCCCCGCCAGCATGACCAGACCCCCGACTGAACCGATCATCACGCCTGAGAAAATCCTAAGCCATCGGGTACGTGACCCACGGGGAGCTTGCCGCATCGAATTCCTGATACGTTGGAAGGACCGCACGCCCACCGAAGACAACTGGGTCCCCCTGGATAGAATTGAGAATCACCCTGTCCTCACTGAGTACCTGCGAAGCCGAAACTTCCGAGATGTACACGCGCTCTTGTAAGAGGGGCCTCCTTGGGGAGGGGGGTAGTGTAAGGAAAATTCCTTTTCCTTACTTCGCGTCCCTGCTCAGCGCGTACATTACTATTCCCGCCAACAGCACCCAACAGTAATCCGTTACCACTCGCGACACTCGCCTCGACACTGATCCTGCCACTGTTCACGACGCGACCCAACCTCACGGTTCGGTTGGTAACCCGCGCTCCGGACCTCCGCCTCGACAATTCCCAACCTCGGCGCCAGGCCCGTCGCGCACCCCATTTTCCACGCATTACCGTTACCACTGTAGTTTCGCTATATATTCTTCGCTCATGCCTTCGCCCATTGTACTTTTGCTTCGATAGTGCAATTCTCGCTCGCTCACTCGATTGCACTCGTAACAATGTGACGCCGATACAGCGACAAAAATATGAAGTTCGCATTTGTGAATAAAAGTGAGAACGAGATGAATCATCGAAGGGAAATGGTAAGAGTTTAATTACTATTGGTCTAGGTCCAGCTTCATCAAAATTGAGGCAGAGGAGCTCTGCAGGACAAGGCATGGGTACCAGAGGCACAAGCAGAGTCAAGTAGCAAACCATATCGGCCCAAAGACAGGCCCGGAAGGAAAGCCCGATTGGCCCTCGAGAAAGCCCAGAGACAAGGCCTTGTGAAAGCCGAAGTGGCTTTTCAAGGCTCATCCCCAAGCCTACGTCTAGAAAGAAACGGCGTTACCTGTGCCCTAGTATCCCTCAGCCCTAACGTCCCTTGACAGGGACAAGGCCCTGACAGACCTGCCTACCCCAATTCATGCTGCCCTTGGTTTTTGGTCCGAAAAGAAACGGCTAAAAACGTCTAGGAGAGGAGGAAAGAGTAAGAGGAAGGGAGGGAACAAGAGTTAGGAAAGCAACATAAGAAGAGGATGGGAAGAGGTAGGGAGACAATAAGTTTCAAAAAGACCTCAAGCCTCGCGGCTAAAGCTCCAGGCTGCTGCCAAAGGCTGCTGACGACTCATGCAGAAACGCAGAGCACAAGGCACCTCGAATGGCTGTGGCAGTGCCGCCCCCGCTGCAGCTGCAGAGACCAAAGCAGGGCTGAGACGCCCCAGCCGCCACAGCAACACATTCACTTCAACTGCAGATATGTCGGCAAATGGGACAAGACGTGCAGTCAGGGTAGGTAGGGGGCTCTCCCCCCTGATGAAGCTCCCATGTCATCTGGTAAAAGCACCTTCCCACGGCTCCCTCCCATGGCAACCATGCACAGTTGAACCAGCACTCGCTTGAAGATATCCGCAGAGGCCGTGGGAGCAGCAGCCTCAGCAGCAGCGCCGACCTTAGCCGCGGCCGTGGCAGCAGCAGGTTCCGCAGCAGCGGCAGCAACAGCAGCGGCAGCAGCAGCAGCAGCAGGCCGAAGTACAGATTCCAGTACCTAAGAAGTCTACTATCGAAAGATCTCGCCAAGTGCAGCAACGACTCAACTCCTCTGTTAGTTCAACACAACTGAACAGCTCCGAACCGCACCCCACCCTCTCTCCTCCCCCCCAAACCCCCTCGTTCGACCGACAGGGCAAAAGGCAGAGGGAAAACGGCAGGTAGGCCTAATCCCAGGCACTGGGAGGAGCGTTGCTGTACCCACCACCGCCACCATAACCACCACCACCACCATACCCCCCTCCTCCTCCCCCATACCCGCCCCCATACCCTCCCCCGCCTCCATACCCCCCACCGCCATACCCACCCCCGCCATACCCCCCTCCGCCTCCCCCGCGCTCCTTCCTGAAATCCCTCCCTCCAAACCGGTTCCCGCCGCCGCCTCGTCTGCCCTTCCCCCCGCCACCATACCCCGACCGCGAGGCGAAGTTCTGCAGCCAGCCAGGCACCTCCTGGTTCGCCTCGCTCATCAACTCTATCAGCGACCGCGCCAGGTTCGTGTCCTTGTCACAGAAAAACGCCGTGGCTAACCCAGTCTTCCCCGCGCGCCCGGTACGCCCGATGCGGTGCACGTAGTCATCGATGTCGGAGGGCAGGTCGTAGTTGATGACGTGGCTCACGTGCGGGATGTCCAGCCCGCGCGCCGCCACGTCGGTGGCGACGAGGATGGGCGTGCGGCCGGAGCGGAAGGAGCGCAGCGCGGACTCGCGCTCCTGCTGCGAGCGGTCGCCGTGGATGGACGTGGCGGGAAAGCCGTTGCGGCACAGCCAGTCCTCGAGAGAGTCGGCCCCCTTCTTGGTCTCCACGAAGACAAGTGTCAGCCCGCCCTGTGACGTCAGTGCGGGTGGTGGGGTTGGTGGGGGTGGGGGTGGAGGTGGGAAACGGAGGGACAAAGGGAAAGCGGAGGAAAGCCGTTGCGACACAGCCAGTCCTCGAGAGAGTCGGCTCCCTTCTTGGTCTCCACGAATACCAGTATCAGCCCGCCCTGTGATGGGGGAGGGGGTGGGGGAGGGGGTGGGGGTGGGGGGATGGAGGGTGGTGGTGGTTGGTGAGATGGAAGGGGGGGGGTAGGACGGAAAGGGAGGCCGTGGATGGGGGTGGCGGGGAAGCCGTTGCGGCACAAGTCCTCCAGCGAGTCGGCTCCCTTCTTGGTCTCCACAAACACGAGGGTCAGCCCGCCCTGTGGTGGCGGTGGCGGCGGTGGCGGTGGCGGTGGCGGTGGCGGTGGCGGTGGTGGTGGCGGTGGTGGTGGCGGTGGCGGTGGCGGTGGCGGTGGTGGTGGCGGTGGCGGTGGCGGTGGCGGTGGCGGTGACGGTGGCGGTGGCGGTGGTGAGGGTGGTGGCGGTGGCGGTGGCGGTGGCGGTGGCGGTGGCGGTGGCAACTCAATGCAAATCCTTGAAGCACTCACCACGTTGCCAGTAGCGCCGTTGGACGTGTGGTGCGCGTGAATCACATCCATGAGCACGGACCGCTTGTCATGGAATCAGGTCCGTAAAACCCCGCGCACTTCCTGACTGTGTACTCACCGCGTTGCCAGTAGCGCCATTCGAGGTGTGGTGCGCGTGAATGAGATCCGTCAACACGGATCGCTTGTCGTGCTCGGGCACATACTCCACGCGCTGCTGAATGAGGTCCGTGTACGACCCCACCCCACGCGTGGAGTACGTGCCGGAGCACGCGCGGATCAGTGGACCACCCCACGCACTTCCTAACCCTTTACTCACCGCATTGCCAGTAGCACCGTTGGACGTGTGGTGCGCGTGAATGAGATCCATGAGCACGGATCGCTTGTCGTGCTCGGGCACATACTCCACGCGCTGCTGAATGAGGTCCGTGGACGACCCCACGCGGCCCACGGTGAGGAAGACGTAGTTGGCGAGGAAGTCCGCGGCGAGGCGCTGGATCTCCTTGGGGAAGGTGGCCGAGAACATGAGCGTCTGCCGCTCGCCCGCGCGCGGCATGCCCTCCTGCTCCACGATGCGCCGGATCTGCGGCTCGAACCCCATGTCGAGCATGCGGTCGGCCTCGTCCAGGGCCATGTAGCGCACCATGGTGAGGGATACCTTTCCCCGCTCCAGCATGTCGCACAGCCTGTGGGTTCACGGGTCAGGGCACACGAGAGTAGAGAGGGAGAGTGGTTGGTGCCGAATCTGCGGCACAAAGCCCATGTCCAGCATGCGATCGGCCTCATCTAAAGCCACGTAGCGCACCATTGTGATGGACACCTTGCCGCGCTCCAGCATATCGCACAGCCTGGGGAGGGGGAGAGCGCCAAGGGAATATAAGAGTGATGCGTGATGAAGAGGGGATCTGCGGCTCGAAGCCCATGTCGAGCATGCGATCGGCCTCATCTAAAGCCACGTAGCGCACCATGGTGATGGACACCTTGCCTCGCTCCAGCATGTCGCACAGCCTGTGACAGGGGTGACAGGGTGAGGGGGCAAGGGAAGTGGAGGGTGCGTGCTATCAGTCGGGTCTGCAGCTCCGCTTCATGGAGGGCGAGACAGCGCACCATTGTGAGACGCCATGCGACGGGCGAGACGATGCTCTCATGTGTCGCACAGCCTGGGGGTTGGGGGGCCAAGGTTCAGAGTGCAAGCAGGTGTTTGGAGATTCATAAAAACCAGCTGGTCTTACACAAACTCGGCATTCTTTTTCCTCGGTTTTCACAGCTCGCAGGATCCAGGGGTCAGGTCAGGGCGCAAGGGAGCAGGGGAGTGACGGCAGGAAGAAGAGGTGCGGTTTGAGCCCCATGAGGGCCATGCAGGGCAGTCAGCCGTTGGTGATACGGCACTGCAGCTGATACTCCGTCAGTCGCCCGAACAGTATCAGTGCGTGCGTAAGAGTGAACATCCGTCACTACTGCCGAGTCGTTTTTCCGAGGCCTCCGATTGACTTTTGAGTCGACTCAAGAGTCAACAAGGGAGCAGGGGAGTGAGGGCAGGAAGAAGAGGTGCGGTTTGAGCCCCATGAGGGGCATGCAGGGCAGTCAGCCTTGCCCACATATGAGACACCGATTGAGGCCTCAATAGTCGTCAGCCTTGCCCACATATATGAGACATCTCAAGATTCAGCAGGGAGGAGGTGCGGATAAGGGTTCATGAGAGGCATGTAATCGGCCTCGGCCGCACTAGGGCACTGCGCGGACAGTTTCTTGGAAAACTCAAATAACACATGCCCGGGTGAGGCCACACTGAGGAGCCTGCAGTGAGCCTTGCACATGCCCGGGTACTGGACAGTGGCCCTGCTCACCGTTTTCACTTCACATGTTCCAGCTTGTCGCACATCCCGTGACGTAAGAGTAGCGGGTGTTGGGCAGCAGGCGGATAACTGGTCCGTGGACGCATGCACTAGCACTAGTGCCTCACGCTTGTGCTCTACAAGCCGCATCGGAGCATGAGAGCTTATGGAAAGCGAGAATTTGAACCTGTGCATGTTGATGCGAGTGAGAGAAACGGCTAGAGGCCAGTGGGGATGAGGAGGAGAAGGAGGAGGAGAAGGAGGAGGAGGCTGGTACCTTCCAGGCGTGGCGACAAGGATCTCAACTCCCCTCTCCAGCTCCCGCATCTGCATGCATGCACACACGTGCATGGATTCATGAATGAATGACCCCCCCCCCCCCCCCCCCCCTCCCCCCCCCACACACACACGTAGCAACACGGCGGGATAGCCACAGACACAGCAGGCATACCAGCAGACATGCCATGCCCAAAGCAGATGCATGGGGAACGCACACAAAGGGAAACACACGTGTGTGATGAGAAAAAGGCGAATATAGCCCGCAGAGACAAAGGCGAATATAGACAGTCTGCACGTGGGAAAAGCAAGCCCAAGCAGCAAGTACCACTCTTCTCCTTCTTTTGGCTTGAACTCTAAATTAATCCTTGCTACACATCAACGTACAATCATTAAGTGTACATTGGAACCGATTGAATATCACAACGCCTGCTGCCGACACAAACGCCTAGGCAAAGCCTTACCTGCTAGCCGTCAGTTATGCAAATAAATTACCTGCTGGCCGGCAGGGGCACCGCCATAAACGACGACGGCTCGCAGGCCGGTCTTGTAAGCAAACTTGCAGGCCTCCGCGTGGATCTGCAGGGAGGAAGGAGGGGCGAGGGGGCGAGGGGCGAGATGGACGAGGGGGAGAAGTGGTTTAAGTCGACTCAACACACGACGACGGCTCGCAGGCCGGTCTTGTAGGCGAACTTGCAGGCCTCCGCGTGGATCTGCGCGGAGGGGCGCAGGGGGCGCAGGTGGAGGGGGGGAGGAAGCGGACGAGGGGATGAGGAACGGGAAGTGAGGGGGGGAGGGGCGAGGGTTGAGGGGCGATGGGGGAGGGGCGAGCGGGGAGGGGCGCGGGGAGCGGAGCGAGGGGCGAGGGGCGAGGAGGGGAGGGGGGGAGGGAGAGAAAGCACGAAGGAGGAACGAGGCGAGAGCGCAGAGGAGTCGGGGAGGCGATAAGACAGGGAAACGGAACAAACCATGGCGGATGGCGGATTCGCGGAGGGAGAGGCGGGAGTCGTAGCGTGGATAGCGGAAGGGAAGGGCACCAAGAACAGGAGGAGGCGAGGAGTGCAGGTGATTCAGCCAAGGCTCGCACCCGGCCCGTGTGGGCTCTCCCAAGTGCAACCTATTAAGACTGTTTCTACCATCACGACAGCTGAAACCAAGCTCCTCGACCACTGAGGTGGCATTTGAGTCGACTCAAAAGTCACCTATGAAACCAGCCCCCCGGTCCACTACGTCCCAGCCTCTCGGCAAAACAGGTTGGCAGTTGCTTCCAGTCCAGTAGAGCATTTAAACAGAACGTATATCAGAGCGTGGGGCGCGTGGGGTTGCATCTCAGAGCAGAAACTGTGAAACTGACGCAACTGGCGCAATGGCCGCAGCCGTGACGGCAGCTCGTCATTTCGTCGAATCCCTCGATCCCTCACCTGGCTCGTGAGCTCGCGCGTGGGCGACAGAATCAGCGCGAGCGGGAACGCTTTGCGGCCGAAGCGGGGGCGGTCGGGCGGCGGGCCGGCGGCGAGGATGCCGGAGATGATGGGCAGGCAGAAGGCGGCCGTCTTGCCGGACCCCGTCTGCGCGCACGCCATCAGGTCGCGGCCCGCGAGCGAGATGGGGATGGCGTGCCGCTGCACGGGCGTGGGGTTGGAGTAGTTGCAGCGCTTCACGTTCTCCATCACCGCGGGCTGCGGGGATTAGGGCGGTCAAGAAGAAAAAGATGGAGAAGAAAAGCGAAAAACGGAAAGAGAGAAAACAGAGAGAAGGATGGGGATGGCGTGCCGCTGCACGGGCGTGGGGTTAGAGTAGTTGCAGCGCTTCACGTTCTCCATCACCGCGGGCTGCGTGCGGGGGGTTTAGGGCGGTCAGGAAGAGACGGAGAGAAGAGGAGAGCAAAACACAAAAGTTGAATTCGCCGCCCACGTTCTCCATCACCGCCAGTTGCGCAGCCGGGGGGGGGGGGGGGGGAGGGGGGATTAGGACGAAAAGTACAACAGAGAAGAGGGCAAGAGGAAATGAGATGAGGAGTTTGCACCCAGAAGCGAAGGAAAGGGTCTGCATAGGCGATTCAACGCCGCTGGTTCTTCCAAACCGCTGCATGCGGGCCGGGCCCGAGGTGGAGAATGACTGGGGAGCGGAAAATGGATGGCGAGAGATTCGACGAACTGACGAGCTTCAGACACGGCTGCGGCAATTAAGTTGTTTCAGCGCCGAGTCGACAGAAACAAGGTGAGAAAAGAATCAATTCAATAGCCATACAGAACCGCGTGTTTACACGACGCTTCAACATCCAAGACGAGCACACGCGTCAAGCACGTGTCCGCCACGCACCTGGAGCCCCGATCCGTCGAAAGCAGTGATGGCAGGGGGGACATTGTCGCCGCTGGTTTCGACGGGGATATCCTCGTACGCGTCGAAGTTAATGCCCGTGTTCTGGTGGTTCTCAAACACCGCCTCTGAGTCCTTCTTCGTCTGCGTCGAAAACGGATCCTCCTCCCGCCCGCCGCCCGACCCGCTAAACCCTCCCAGCGGCCCTCCGCCGCCGCCACCGCCGCCGCCCCGTCTCCCGCCGCCGTATCCCCCTCGGCCGCCGCCGTACCCGCCTCCGGCACCCCCCCCTTGCCAGGCGCCTCCGCCCCCTCCGCCGTATCCTCCGCCACCCCAGCCGCCTCCGCCTGAAGCTCCGCCGTTCCATGCGCCGCCTGGCGGAGGTCCCCCGTATGCTGGACCCGCCGCGCCTGCCTGATCCGCCCACGATCCGCCAGCTCCCCCCGCCGGCACATTCCAGGAGACTACCGGCGCAGGGCCGGGGGCTCCCGGTTGGCCCATTCCCGGCATACCCGGGGGCTGCGCAAAATCTCCCCCGCCGACTGGTCCGCGGCCGCGCAGGTGCGGGGGGACGTACGATGAGATCGGCTGCCGTAAAATCGGTTCCTGCCCGCGCGGTCCCCCCGGAGCGGAAGGCCCGCCAGCGGGGTGCATGTATGGCGCGGGGGGCCCTGGCGCGGGCGGATGGGCTTGATGCGGGGGGTTGATGGGTCCTTCTTCCACCACGTCGCCCCAACCTTGACCTGCCATATTGGCTACAATAAAAAAATGAAGCTCGGATCCGCTTAAGGAGACCTGATTATCGTGGGTTGACTACCTTAACGAATTTAAGTTTTACACCAAATTGTAGAAGAAAGCCTGAATCTCGCTGCGACACAAAATTTATCTCGACACCTTCAAACTGAGGACTACAAATCCGCACAAAGTACAGCTACACGATCTAGCGACCCGGAGATAAAGAACCGTTTCTAACAAACCTATAGAAAGTGGTACTTAGGCCTGGTTGCGAAAACCTAGCCTGAACTGGACTACAGAATGACAAAAGGATGAATCTAGGGGGGTTGCCTGATAAAATTGTTTAGGCTGAGAGAGGGAGGAGAGGGGGGTAGTGTCCAAAGAAACGGTAACTTCGCGAACTGACTGCAGTAACGAAAACTCGGCGATAACTGGCACTAAACGTTCGTTTGGGCTCGCATGTGGTAATTCATGCGGCGAACACATCGTGGCTCAAATTATAAATTTCGCGGACACGGGAGCTGAAGCCTTGAAATTGTCCGAGAACAGCGGCGAAAGGGATAGCAGACGAACCGTGCAGGATGGGTCTGAAGGGTTACAGCACCGCGTAAGCCAATCACATTGCTCCGTCAGTTTCTGACGTGTCATCCAGATGGATCGCGAATCCGAGCAATCCGAAACCCCAAATCCGTGGGCGTTTTTCATGGATTTCCAAGTGTATCTGAAGCGCCAGACTAATTCGAGGATCATAAATCGACAAAAATGAAAACAGGACCCATGCCTGAAGAGACACACCAAGCTAGCCTTTTTTCAGCAACAAATAAAGGTAAGTAATATCAGTCAGGTCAGAGCACAGCAGGTTACGATATCATCTATTCGACATTGGCAACGAGGGAGCCTTGCTGGCTCCATCTTTACCCCAACTACCCAACCCCTTTTTGTCCAAGTCAGCGAAGGACGTAGGAGGGGCACGTCCTCTAGGAGTCATCCCAAAGGGAAGACTGGCACTGTAGCCATCAGCTCCGTTACAAAACCCATTGTCATTGCTCGAGCGGTTTTCCGAGCCATTCGCTGGAACCGCATTTTGTGAGCCATTTAGTAACGAGATGTCAGGGGTGGTTGTGGAGCAGTCCTCTCGAGAGCTGGATTCTTGTACTGAAGAGAGTGTACTCCTGTTGTTAGAAACAGCTGAAGGAACTGGACCTTTAATCGGCACTTTGGGCAACCTTGGGTTGCTGCTGCTGCTGCTGGAGCTAGCTCCCGGACCTCCACCCGAGCCTGCACTGGCGAATTTATCCGAGCCTACCTCCCAGGGCGGTTTGACGGATGACCTGGCGCCACGAGGGGTTGTAAGCAGCTCGCCCTGAGAGAACCCCCCATAGCGACCCACTCCCCTGGGGGTGAACCCCACCCCCCCACTTTCCAAAGCTCCACGTCCTCCTGACCCCATCCCCTGTGCTGCTGAGGGAAAAGCGGCGGCTGCACCAGCACCTGCACCTGACTCTGTCCCACCATTCTCCCTCCCCTGCCCCCCTCCCTGCACCACCCCCTCCTGCTGTGCTTTGGGCACAGACCGCATCAGCTCCTGCCCGTATATGCCCATGCCGCCAGGGGGGAAGAACGCGAGTGATCTGGGGGAGAACGACGATGGAGACGGCAGCCCCGGACCTCCTGCCAAGCCTAGCACCCCGAACCTGTTCTTCGGGATCCAGCTCGGCCATTCCTTGGAACCGAACGCATTCCCCCCTACCGAGCCTACGCCCGAACCAGCAGCCGAACCTGGTGGGTTGTCGTTCCAGGTGGGTTCGTTAGAGAGCCACCCGCGGCCCTTGTGGGGCAGCACGTTCGGCCTGGCTGAGGGGGAGACGAAGCCCGCTACAGGACGGGGCGTGCCGCCCGTGAGAGCCTTTTCAAAGTAATCAAAGTCAGTGTCGTATTGAGGGCGGGGGAGGGAAGTAAAGCAGGAGGAGGAGGATGCAGAGGGGGGAGGTGCGGGTGAGTTTAGCACAAGGTTTCGGTTTGGAATTTGGATGGGCACAGGTGCGGCTGCAGGCGCACAGGGTGCTGGCCCAGATACTGCTTCAGGTGCTTTATCAGGTGCTGTGGGTGCTGCAGCAGGTGGCTCAGCTGCTGCATCTGTTGCAGCAGCAGCAGGATCGGTAGCAGCAGCATGAGCAGCATCAGCAGCAGAGGTGGCTGGAGGGCCATCAAGGCCACTGGTACCGTGCAGAGCAGCAAGGGGAGGCACAGCGGTCCCGCCCACCCTGCCAGGTACTACTGGCGATGACACAGCAGTCAGGCGCAGGCACGTCACTGCACTGCTGCCCGCACTGCCACTTGAACTGCCTCTCCCACTGCCACTCCCACTCCCACTCCCATTGCTGATCGCATTCCTACTGCCACCAGCATTGCTACTTGCATTCGCGCCTGCTCCACCCTCTCCCGCCCCCCTCTGCTCCTTCTCCCCCCCTGCTGCGCCTGACAGCTTCGCCAGCAGGCGCATGGGCGATAGGCCACGCATGCCCCTCCCCTCGCCCTTCCTCCTCCGCTCCCGCCCCCTCCCCCTCTCCGCCCGCCCCTCCTCTCCCCCACCTGCCTCCTCCCCTACCACCCTCCCCTCCTCTCTCTCCCTCTCCTCCTCCACACTCCCTTCCTCCCCCTCCCCTCCCACCCTCCCTTCCCCCTCCTCCACCGCCTCACCCGCCCCACACCCGTCCTCCTCCTCCCTCCCCGCCTCCTCCTGAGCCAGTTTCCGCCTGCCCCAGTCCGCGCCTCCCCCAGTGCGCCCCAGCCCGCGCAGGAAGGGGCGGCGCAGGCGGATATCAGAGGGATCTAGCAGCCCACCGCACCGCAGCTGCCCTGCTAGCGCCTCTAGCTGCTCCTCTGAGAGGCTCTCACTCCTCCTCGCCCGCCCCTCACTGTTCTTGCTCCTGCCCGTTCCTCCTCCTGATCCCTCTGCGTCTCCTGCTGCTGCTTCTTTTCCTTCTGAAGGGCTGTCACTTTTACGACCCTTCCCCTCCTTCCCCTTCTCTTTCTTTCCCGATACTTCTTTTTCTGCAGCTGCAGCCATCTTCCGAAGCTGCTCCGCCTCTTTGCGGTCCCAGCTTCGGCGCCGAAGCTTCTGCGCGAACCTGTCCACCGCACCAAAGAGCGAGGTCGAGCCTAAGAGCGAGGACGAGGTTCGGTAGGCAGAGAAGCCTGGAGACTCGGACTTCTGGCTTGGTCCGGCAGACGTGGAGGGCAGGTTCGGGGGCGAGGGCTGAGACGAGACGTTGGGAGGTAGAGGAGAGGTGGGAGTGTGAGGGGCGTTTGGGGCAGAGGCAGCGTGAGGCAGCGAGGGAACAAGAGGGCTCACAGGTGTGGGTGATGAGTTTGGTTTGGGTGGGGAAGGGGTGGTCGTTTTGGGTTTACGCGGGGTTGTTGGCTTGGGCTGAGATGGGGTTGTGGACTGGGAGGTGGAGGAGAGTGTGGAGGGTGAGAGAGGAGAATCAGACAAGATTGTTGCTAATGGAGATGACTCGGCTGCTGAGGACGCTGCTGTTGGCTCTGCCACTGCTGCTGCTGCTGCTGCTGCTGCTGCTGCTGCTGCTGCTGCTGCTGCTGCTGCTGGCGGTACTGCTGCTTCTGGTGCACTCGTTGCACTGCTACTCGCTGCTGATTCACCCACAGCTGCTACTGCAGCGCCGTCAGACACCTCACAGCCACAACTTTGCGAGGCACCATCTAAAAGTTTTGCGTCCTGCCCGAGGTACGTCAACCCCTGCCGAGCCACCACCTTCATCAACTCAGCATCAGCCCCTGCCCCACTCCCCCCACCCACTCTCCCCTCCCGCCCTCCACCCCCATCCCCAAGGGCAGCCAAAAAACTTTCCGGCTCCTGCCCGTCCGTCACCGTAACCGCCTCCCCGCCCAGACCTTCATACTTGATAATCTGCCTGGCAGTAGCCAACCCTTGCTGGGCCATGAGCGGGTGGCACTGCTTGCCTTCCCAGCAGAACACAGCAGATCCCACCTGCACCAGAAAGCACCCGCGCGGGTCGAGGGAGTGGCGGGAGAAAGGGACGGTTTTGGGCACCAGATGGAGCGCGTCGTAGGGGGAGTGAGGCGCCATGCGATACATGTGCTGCCGAACCACGCCGCCCGCCGCTTCAGACGATGCCGGCGCTGCTGCTGCTGCTGCTACTGTTGGCGGATCAACTGGTGCTGGGGGGGCTGCTGCTGCTGCTGCTGTTGCTGCCGCGGCGGCTGCTGATTTGGGCGGCAGAATTCGTTTCTGCCACTGCAGCAGCTGGCAGGCGAAGCCCATGTTGGGACTCGCCACGCCCCTCACCGCCTTCACCCGCCTGAACGCCTCCTCAAACTCCATCCTCTGGAGAATTGTGGTGTGCGCAGGGGGCGAGCGGCACAGGGGAGGGGGAGGGGGAGGGGGCGAGGAACACGGGGACACAGGGACAGGGGGAAGGGGAAGAGGGGTGGGGGGGGGGGGGAGGATGGTAAGGGCGCAGGATGGTTGCGAGTGCACTGGCATGCTGCATGCGAAACCATCCTGCTGTTACCATCCTGCTGTTACCATCCTGCTGTTACCATCCTGCTGTTACCATCCTGCTGTTACCATCCTGCTGTTACCATCCTGCTGGTGAAAGGTTGGATCTTTTTCATCCTGCTGGCATTCCAGGCAAGCATCAGGCGACAGCAGGATTATTCTAGCATCTTAGGCAAGCATCAAGCGATTGACTCAAGTGATCCCCCCACCATACCGGCTGCACGACTCGCGTGCGCACACAATCACTTGAGTAACACGACTACAATCACTTGAGTAACACGACTACAATCACTTGAGTAACACGACTACAATCACTTGAGTAACACGACTACAATCACTTGAGTAACACGACTACAATCACTTGAGTAACACGACTACAATCACTTGAGTAACACGACTACAATCACTTGAGTAACACGACTACAATCACTTGAGTAACACGACTACAATCACTTGAGTAACACGACTACAATCATTTGAGTAACACGACTACAATCACTTGAGTAACACGACTACAATCACTTGAGTAACACGACTACAATCACTTGAGTAACACGACTACAATCACTTGAGTAACACGACTACAATCACTTGAGTAACACGACTACAATCACTTGAGTAACACGACTACAATCACTTGAGTAACACGACTACAATCACTTGAGTAACACGACTACAATCACCATTAATGGTGGAGTGGACAATCACGCCATACACGCTAACAGACAACTCGTTACAAGACTCCTGCACTGCTCTGCCCACCTGCGTCCACATGAGGTAGGCGATCACGAGCGACGTGGAGCGCGAGACGCCCTGGCAGCAGTGCACGAACACGCGCCCCCCGCCTTCTCTCACACCCTCCATGTAATCAAACACGTCGTAGAGCACGCATGTGATGTCCTCCGCAGTGTTGTCCTGTGGGGGAGGAAGAACGGGTGGTGGAGGGAGGGAGGGAGGGGGGGGCGAGTGGGGGGGCCGATGGCGAGAGAAAGAGACAGGTGCGAGGATGAGGAGACGTTGCCTCCAACACATGTGATGTCCTCTGCTGTGTTGTCCTGTGGGGGAGGAAGAGGGGAGGTGGCGGAAGGAGGGAGAGAGAGGTGGAGAGAGTGAGACGAGTGCAAGGATGAGCAGCCGTGACCGCCCTCCCGCACGCCCTCCATGTAGTCAAACACGTCGTACAGCACACATGTGATGTCCTCCGCTGTGTTGTCCTGTGGGGGAGAAAGGGAGGGGAGAGAGTGCAAGGATGAGCAGCCGTGGCCTCTCTCACGCCTTCTATGCAGTCAAACACGTCGTACAGCACAGCACGCATGTTACGTCCACCGCCGTGTTGTCCTGAGGTGAAGGGGAAAGGAACGGGAGAAACGAGTGCAACGGGATGAGAGCGTCGCCTCCCTCACTGCCTCTCAAAACAGCAACTTAACATTCCCGTCACACCTCCCTCACCTGACCCTCACTCCCACCTCATTTCCACCTCACTTCCACCAACCTGCGTACCACTCCCCCTCACCTTCCCCCCACTCCCTCCCTTCCCTCTCCCCTCTTCCCCGCCCCTTTCACTCACCTGCAGCCAGAGCGTCTTGTACACGATATCCCCGGGGAAATACTCGGGGCACACGAATCCCACGCAGTTGAGCACGTGCGTCACACCCGCGTCGCGCAGGATCTCCCGGCTGCGCGCCACGTAATCGCTCCCCACGAACACGTGATCCAGCACGCGGCTGCAGTCCTTCTCGAAGAAGGCGAACTTCTCCTTGCGCGCGCGCACCTCCATCGCCTCCGCGTTGAAATCCCGCTCCGTGCGCGCGCGCAACGCGCCCAGGTCCAGCCGGATTTCCCCCAACCCGAGCCTCGCGCGGCTCAGGCTCGGCGAGCCTTTCCGAATCGCCGGGCCAGCTCCGGACGTGCCCGAACGGCCTGATGCGCCTCGCCTGCTGCTGGACGCGCCGGCTTCGCCAGTCTCGCCAGATTTATCGTTTTCGTCAGTAGGGCTTAATAGGAGCCCGTTTCTGGGTGGACAGATAATGGTAATTCCCATGTCTAGATCGCCTTCCTCTGGAGGTGCTATTAAGTCGGGTCGCGGAGTAGCGGGAGGAGGAATCTGAGGCAGCGATAAGCAAAAGTCCCTACCGCTGCTGGTACCTATTGACGCGGTCCGGCGGATGGAAGGCGGGCTGGTGATTGGCTCGAGGGATATGGGGTCGCGTCGCTCGCCTAGCTCTATATCAGACGGCGGCAGCAGGTCGCCGCTCATTGCCACTGCAGCGGACCGAACGGACGGGGTGTAGTGGTCTTGCCGAGCCCGAAGGAGGCTCGGCACCCCCTGAAGCAGGTTCGGAGGGGCGGCACCATCTATGCACGCTGACACCTCCATGGCAAGCAATTGTGGCGTTAAGGAGCGCTGAGATAGGAGCTCGATGGGCTGGAATGGTATGTTAGGGTTAGTCGCTCCTGGCAAGCACGAGCGAGCGCATCGCGGAGATAACAAATGATGTGAGAAAAATCAGTGCCGGTGATTATAAGCTTGATTCAATCCGAATGTATAAGCTAATTAGTCCGAACCATTGTCCAGACTAGAGCGACTTCAAAACGTTAGCTAGTGAGTGCAAGCCTCAACTAATCAGCGACGTTAGGTACAAGTTAGGTGCAAGCCCCCAACTATAAACGAGCAACAGCGGACGTGGAGGAGAGAAGAGCCGACTAAGGACTGAAAGACGAAGACCTACTGAACTTAGGGGGTCAAACGAATGACTGAAACGTGGAAAGATAATCCGTCTAGAGCCTGCCGCCGTTGCTCTTCGTGCCACAGCCACAGTCCCCCCTCCCCCCTGACCCTGAAAATGCCGCACTCGCACCATGCAGCACTGCGCGGAGGACCAAGTCGTTGCGCAAAGCGCATTCTGCTCCGCTTCGCGCACTGCTCACTGCCCTCCGCCGCAGATGCTTTGCTGGCGCACCCAAGTACGCGGAGCGGAAACCGTCGGTGCGGAGGTTGGCTTTTCGGGGGAAGCTGAGCCGAGTCAAACACCCGCGTTGGTCCTGCGCAGCGCAGAGGTTGAGTTTGTCTGGTGCGCGCAGAGGAGACGAGGAGGTTGACCCGGACTTGACCTCCCCGTCCCGAGTAATTCCGCTAAAACGTTCCTCACTTCCATATTGGAGAATGGTTCAGTTTCATCAGGATGCCCAGCCTTTCTTTCATCCATAAAATAGATAACGTGTAGCTATAAATCGGTATCTATTAGTCCACATCCTCCACACTTCACCATGACCACTCAACAGTCGCAATGCTGATGGTCAGTTCGGGCATGGCAGCAACTAACACCTAGAACATGCACTATGGTATACACGGATGCTTATTCCGGTGGATGCGCCTTGATTTCCGCACTAGATTTTCTCACTGTCTTTTTGCACTGAAGTGCCGGCGGTCCTCGTGTCTGCTGAGGGATAAATCGCGAGCCTAGAATGGAGAGGCACGCTGGTCAGGCTGGAGACGACATTATCGGAAATAACGACAATCTCGAAGGGGATACTACGGCAGCGGAGGGAGATGACGCGTTGTTGATTAAAGCGCGAACAGATTGCATCTTTTTTCTCGCATCGCCGCTAATGTGCAAGAAGGTGATTAGCTTGAGAGACAGACAAGCTCATTAGGTATCTTAATGTTCAATTGAAGAGTATCTGTCATTGTGACGAGAAATTATAATTTCCATTCGTCTGTGACTATCCGCGCAGGGAGCGACATGCGAGTTTCGCCATTCCGAAGCAGCGAGGCGGAACCCGCGCGACTGCTACTACTGGATGAGTTGGGGGTGCAACAAGGCCGACTGCGCCTTCAGGCATCCGGTACAAATCGGTTCTCGCCAGTCGCGTTTCCCTCTTCTCTTAATTCCCGCTTCGCTTCGAGTCCTGCTAATCTTCTTGTACTCGTACAACCTTGCTATTCCGCACAAATTGGTATCAGCAATCCCATTCATTCTAAAAAAATTCAGCAAAAGCATGGTTTTCCCCGCTTCCGCCTCGTTTCCTCTCCCTCCCTTACCCCTGCAGCCTCTAGGCAGGCCGCCTGGCGCAGCTCCCCCTCCCGCGTTCCCCGTGGCAGAGGACAAGTCGCGGACGCCCTGCTTCTTCTTCGCCCGGGGCGCGTGCGCCAAGGGGGACCTCTGCCCCTTCCGCCACGAGACCCCTCCCCCTGACGCCACTGCGCCTGCTCCTGCTGCTCCTGCTACTTCCGCTCCTGCGGCTGCTGCTAGTCCTGCTGCTGTTGAGGCTACTACTGCTGCTGCTGACCCGCTCTCTGGCCGCGCTCCTGGCGCTGCCGCTGCTGCTGGAGTGGAAAGGGAGCCAGCGAGAGGCTTGGGTAGAGGTTCGGGTAAAGGTTCGAAGGTTGGAGGTACGGGAAGACGGGTAGAGGAGGAGTCAGGGGCACCAGGGGGGTGGGATGAACAAACTGATGCAGGGACAGGCGGAAGGAGGGCTGGGGAGAGGGAAGGGGTGGGACCGAGTGCAGGGAGGGGTGTCTTTGGAGGTGGGAGTGCGTTTGGGGAGGCAGAGGAGAGAGGGGTGGCTAGTGGGGGCAGAGGTGGTCGATCAACGTTGCCAGTAGGTTCAACATTCGGAGTAGGGCGCGGCCCTTCGCGAGGTTTCGCAGATGTGGCTTATGATCAAGAGGAGCAGCAGCAGCGACAACAGCGCCACCACAACCATCAGCAGCAATATCATCACCAGCAGCAGCAGCAGCAACAGCAGCAGCACTGGCAGGGGCAGGGGCAACAGGAGTGGCAGCAGCAGCAGCAACAGCAATGGCAAGAGCAACAGCAAAATTACAATCAATTCAACCACTATAACAGGCAGCATCAGCAGCCGCAGATTCAGCAGCAGCAGATTCAGCCAACCGCCCAGCCCCGTGGTTATGATCGTGCCATTGGCCATACTCCAGGTCACCCTGGTCAAGATCCAGGTCAGCACGAGCACCCCATGAGCCAGCACGGGCACCCAGTGACTCAGCATGGGCACAGGGCAGTGCAGGGGCGCGGGCGGGCAGTGGGGGTGCGGGCGGTGATGGAGGAGGCAGCTGCAGCAGCCGCTGCCGCCGCCACAGCAGCACGGGGGCCAAGCCCAGGGCCAAGGAATTTGAGCATGGGGACAGGGAGACAGGAGGGCGGCAGTAGAGGGCGAGGGGAGGAGGCTGGTGAGGGGCTTAGAGGGAGATTTGTGGGAGAAAGGTCCGCTCAGCAGCACGTGGCACATGGTGGGCCGAAGGTGCCTGAGTTGTCGCCATCCCCCATGCCAGGTGAAAATGCCGCACTTGCCTTTCTGGTTTCTTACATCCCACACTTCGATTTTTACAGTGCGTTCTGTGTGTTTCCTTACCGTGAGCCTTTTGCGAACAATGATGCGAGCTCGCGTCAATGAATGTTTGCCATTCTCTTGCTTGCTTCTCCATCGCGTCTCAGGCAAGTTGGCAGCAACTGGCGGCTCTGCAGCAGCAGCGGCAGCAGCAGGAGGAGGAGCAGGAATAGCAAGAGGGGCGCGAGCAGGCACAGGCAGAGTAGCCAGCGATACACCCAGTTCTCTGTCTGCAGCACCCAACAGCATTATCGCACCAGCAACAAACCTTCCTCTGAAAGGACGTAGGCTGGTGGTGGCCGTGGGGAGCAGCTCTGATAGTGCTGCTGGGGGAGTCGTTGCAACCACTGCTCGCACTCTGCCTGTCCAACAGCAACAAGGTCATCAGCAGCAGCTTCAGCCACAGCAGCAGATACAGCAGCAGACGCAGCAGCAGCAAGGGCAGGTTCCAGCGAGGGCGGCGGGGCAGGGGCTGGTAATCCGTGCGCGAGTGGATGGCGCCTCAGCGTCTTCTCAGCGTGTGGTGCAGGCGCCTTCCCTCGCTGCTTCCCAATCTCATGTCTCTCGGGCAGCTGATATTCGCCAGCCTGTGAAGGCTACCTCGTCCCTCCCTGAATTCCCACCAGGGAGGAGGGACCTGAAGCGGGTCCGGTCCGAGCCAGAGGTTGCTGCGGAGAGTGTGGTTCGGGATCTAGGTTCGGGGCGTGCAAGGGTTCAGTCAGGGCAGGAGATAACAACCAGGCAGGGGCAGGCTGGGGTAGGCCGGTTGCAAGGCAGACTGGCCGAGCCTGTTAGAGGTTTGGAAGGCTCGAGAGTCAGTGGTGGAGTCTCGGCAGGGGATGGTAGATTGTCTGTGAAGAGGCGCCTGGGTGCTGCTGCTAGCATGGGGACCACCTCTGGTGCTGGGGCTGATGCTGGTGCTCGCCCTGCTGCATCGGGCAGTGGGGCTGTTGCTGCTGCTGCTGCTCCTGCCGGTCATGCTGCCGGTGCGCATACTCGTGCTGGCTCATTGGCAGAAGCCAACGGGCTTGGCGTCAGGGAAGGGAACGGTGCTGTGAACAGTGCAGGCGTGACAGGTGTCAAGAACCGACTGGCTGCCAGGCTGTCAGGACCTGTGGGGAAGGCGAATTTAGTCAGGGCAGGAGGCGGCTCTGATAGTCCCAAGGTTGGTGCCGTTGCTGCTACCACTGCTCCCCCTGCTGCTGCCACTGCTCCCGCCGCTGCTGCTGCTGCTGTTGTGAAGGTGGGGGAAGCATCAGGAGCAGGAGGAGGGGGAGAAGGCGGGTTCCGACCTAGAAGTCTGGCAGAGATTCTGGCAGAGAAGAGGAAAGCCCAGGGGGCTGGTGCGGTCCCATCAGCATCAACAGCAATGTCAGCAGCATCGCCATCATCTGGAGCAGTGGGCACCAGCACGGGTACAGGAGCAGCAGCAGGAGACCGAACCAGTGCTACTCAATCAAGAAAGGCACAGCTTGTTAGGGTTGTGGGTGGGTCTGCTGCTAAGAGTGCTGGCGATACTTCTCAGACAACAGCACCGCAGAACCCTACGAATGGTAGTCGTGAATCAGCTAGTGCGCCAGCTGGCAAGGCGACCGGAGTGACAGCTGGCAAGGCGGCCGGAGCGACAGCTGGCAAGGTGGCCGGAGTGACAGCTGGCAAAACAGGTGGGCTGTTCTCGGGCCCTCGGCCGCTCTCAGAGCTTCTGAAGCGCAAGCGAGCGAGCGACGAGGGAGGTGGGGGTGATGGTGGGGTCGCTGGTAGTGGGGCACAGCAGGAGAAGGCTGTTGGTGAGAGACAGAGGAGAGTGGCGCGAGTGGATGTGACAGGTGGGCAGGGTGAAGGGAATGTGGGTAAGACCAGGAGGCTGTCGAGGGTGCTGAGTGGGCGTGGTGGTGGAGAAGAGGGGATGAAAGCTGCAAGCACGGCAGCAAAGGCGTCAGGCACTGTAACAGAAGCAGCAGGCACTGTGGCAGAAGCAGGAGGTGGAGAAGCAACAGCAGCAGGCACAGGGGTAGCAGGCACGAATAGCGAGGATGCGGAGAGGGCTGCTGTCCCTGGTGCGGCCACTACTCCCGTTTCTGCTCCTGCTGCAGTTGCTGCAGTGGAGGAGAAGGGTGGACACGCGACTGATGCCAAACTGGCTGATGATGCTGATGATGGAATTCTCCTGGTTCGCAGTGGTAGCTCACAGTCGAAGGAGGAGAGAGCTGTAGGAGAGGTGGACTTGGGGGATGAGGAATTGGTCGATGAAGAGGATGAAGATTACGATGTGGAGGGGAAGCTTGGAGATTTGTGGTGAAGTCATCGGCCAGGAACATGCGCTAAAAAAATATTTCTGGTTGGTGCAGTTGTTTAATATGGATGCATATTCGTAGGCCAGTTTGAGTGTACTTCGGGTCTGCTTTTAGGCAGGAGCAGATGTTGACGGCGTGGTGAGCGTGGGGCAGAAGCAATCTGCGTGGATTCGCCCTCGACACGTCAACTTTTGGTTCAATCCACGCATGCCGAATCGCAACCACGTCACTCGAACTCTCGTTGGGCATGAGCTTCGAAGTTACGATGATGTTACCCTGCACATCTTCCGCAAGCAATCTCCGCCTGATTGCCGTACTAGAAAATGACGGTGGGCGACAGGAAATAATTTTCGCCCATGTTACCATTTCGGGGCAGAAGACTAAACCCACCATACCATTTCATGATGTGCCATCAGATCAGAGAGATTTGGCAGCGGATCGCAGAGCGACGCGGGTGAATGGATAGGCTGGGACCAAGGTTTTCACCAAACGTCTGCCACAGCTGGATACGACTGCTGAGATGATAACACCTGGCGAGAAAGCTTGGCTTTGACCCCATCTAACCGTCCGCACGCCCTTTTCGGTCCGGGACGCTATGCATTCTGCACCGCCTTTTTCCACCGCCCCCCCTCTTCGTTCCTGATGGATGCAAGATCGTTCGTTGCTGTCGCGACAATCTCGAGAAGGGCTGAGTTTGTTCGGCGGCTGAGTTTGATGCTTGGCTAAATGCGGAAATCTCGAGGTCCTGACGCGAGGATCTCGAAAATGGAGGGATAAGCCTGCGTAGAGAAAAGCAGCCATAGCGTTTCACAGATGTGCTTGAAGCGAAGAGAGCGAGGATGCACGGATAGTATAAGTAGCAGGAGCTTGCCTGCTCTGCTGCTACGTGCTGCTGATGTTTGGAGAGATTTTCTTTCCAAAGCCGAAATCGTCGGTTCAGCAGTGCTCAGAAGCATCATGCATCATGCGTCGTCGCGATGCATCAGGCTCTCCTGTTACGCACGGATAGCTCGCACACGCGTGGAATCATGCTCTGATGTTCCAACGCTATTAGCGGTTCTACGACCAGCTTACGTGCTCGGTGCAGCTTTCCGCCTTTGCTCAAGGTCCTTACTACCATTCACTTGTCATGGTTCGTGAGACGTCTAGAGCTGACAGGATTTCGAGATAGGCTAGAGAACGTCGCTGAAGCTCATATCCATGACTGAGCATGGCTATAGCGCCACCCGGTCTCAAGGGCTCGGCGCCTAGAACGGTTCTTAGAGCATCCAATAGTGCGACGACGTTAAGTGCTAGTACCGAAAGTGGCTTCTCACGAAGCACCACTAGGGACAATTATATACCAGAGACTCCCAGGCTCTCCTCCTCGGGTTGTAGGGTTGCTACGGCAAGTTCAGCTGCGTCGGTTATTGAGCGTTCTTGGAAGTCCGTGTTGGAAGCTGCGCCGCGGAACGGATTGTTGCCAAAAAAACAGCTAATCGTGGGTGATGCATCTGGCTGCGACGGCGAGATGGAAGTTTCGGATCGCGCGTCCATATTGACAACGGAAAGCGGCGACGTGGCTCAGCAAATGTCCTGTACAAGCGAGCCTGGTTCTCAGGCTCGGGACGAGGCTGGAGCCGCTATTAGTGGAAGTCCGTCTTTGACTCATCGCCTGAGCGAGACTTTCTGTGGGGAGACACCCGGGGAAGAAGGAGCAGCAGCAGAGGCACGGAGCGGTGGTACTATCGAGGCTTCAGGCGACGAGAAACGGCGGGAAGAGGAGTCTGTTGTCTCGGAATCGGTGGATGCACCTGAGGCTGCGTCCGTGTCAGAGGGGATAGAGGAATTAAATAAGTGGGGGAACGGAGAGAACGGAGAGGAAGCAGCGACAGCGAAAGCAGAAACCGTCAGAGCGGCAGAGTGTGATAGAGACGATACTACTCAGGCCTTGCAATCTGAGTCAGAGCAGGCGCTCAAGAAGGTGTCTCTTGATCCCAACGCCGCTGAGTTCACCCCTTCGTTCGCGCCTTCCCCATCAGCAGTCGCTGCGGCACCTTATTTACCTGACTACACCCCTCTCAGCTCCACTGCCGCTGCGGATGTCTCTGCGGTCACCGCTAGTGCCGCTTCTGCTGCTTCATCCGCTTCGTTTGTGGTTCCTCCACTCATTCCTCCCCTCGTTACCAGCAGCTCGATTCCTGGCTTGAATCTTAGCCGTCTATTGCCGGCAATTTCCCAGGTGGTCCCTATAGGCCCTCGGAGGTCCTCTCCCGTGCCTCCACGTGGCAACAGTTGGTGGGAGCGGGGCTGGAGCGGAAGAGGGGAAAGGAGTTTTCGTGGAAGGCAGGGTGGAGGCAGCAGGAGCAGCAGCTCTGGGAGCAGCAAACACGGAAGCATGGAGGATGTGAAAGTTTTCCCTGTCAATGCATCATGCATTTATCCCGACTCACATTTTTCGGGCGGTGATGTTTCTGCTTCATCTTCCGCGGCTGCTGCTGCTGTTCATGCCTCCTCTGGTGGTGGTGCTTCTACTGACACTGCTGCTGCAGGTACTGCATTCGCGGCTTCCTTGCAGCATGCCTTTCCTGCTACGGCACCATACGACGTGACTGCTATGTACAGCGCTCCTTACAGTCACACTATACAGTATCACCCCGCACCTTTTCAGCAGCAACAGCAGCATCAACAGCAGCAGCCACAGGGAGAGGCTCCTTCTGCGTATTTTATACAGCCACAGCATACTGTACAGGAGCCATTACAGTCACAGCAAGCACCGTGGTACTCACATGCGTTTGTGCATACTAACCCTCTCTTACATGTACAGTCACAGGCACCATTGCCTACACACGCGGGCTTCAGGGCTCCTTACATGGGGTATGAAATGGGGGAGGCGCTGGTACCTCCTCCTCCTCCCACGCCCCCCACGCCCTTGGCTACAGCAGACGACAGGGTTTCCAGAGCAATACTGCTCTCTCTGTTGCCACCACCTGAACAACTACCTGACGCCGTTCTGGCGCAAGAGATAGAGAGAACGTGGGGTCCTTTGAGGTGAGCTGAAAGTTTCTGTTCAAGAAAGGGTGAGAGCGGCTATCACCCTTAACCCCTTTCACTCTCCCATCCGTTTCCGCTTTCACAGAAAGATCATTCATGCCTCGTCAATGCGTGCAAAGGTTCTTTATTGAAGCTTGCATGGCAGCAATACGGTCTCATACCCAGTTAACCCCTTCCATGCCCCTCTTACCCCTTTTCCTCCTCTTTTCAGATTCCTCGACTTGTCCCGTCGCTGGGAAGGCATGGCCGTGGCACATTTCTTCGACCTGCGCCACGCCAAGGCAGCTCTGCGAGACGTGCAGCAGCAGCACTGGCTGCAGCAGCAGCGCACCCACCACCGCATCCTGCTTCGCCTGCGCCAAATACACACGAGAGAACCCCCTGAGAAGATCATCCCAGACCCATACCGGCCCCTGCCGAACGAGCCTGTGCCGCTGAAAGGGCTGGGATTGGTTGCTGGGTGGGTGGTGTGGGCTCAAGCGGTGGATATTGATGGGAAGGGAGGGGCGTGGGCGGGAGAGGGGAAGGGGGCTGGGCGTGGGACGGGGTTTGGGGGAGGTGGGGCGGATGGTGGAGGCGGTAGAGGGGAGTTCGGTGTGGTGCAGCGGCGTCACCAGCGACAGAAGTCGCAGGGCCCGCAGCAGCAGCACCAGCAGCAGCAGTTGGGGCAGCAGCAGCAACACGAGCAAGGAGGGTCATGGGCAGGGGGGTCGTACGAGCAGCAGGGAGGGCCGTGGGGTGAGAGGCAGGGGTGCGTGGTGGTGTGGAACGTTGAGACCTCTGTGTCTATGGACTGTCTTCGTGCACTCTTTGCAACATGCGGTATGTGCTGCTGGGAGCCTAGGTGTTTCGAGTTTTGCACCGTGGATTCGCTCCAATACTGGATTATGCCTTGGCTGCTATGATTTCTCCTACTCCTTTGACTTTTTTGGGGTCCCTCCGTCATGCTTACATCCGCTGTTTCTGCTGCTTCCTCTCCCTCTGTGTGTCACTCTTTTTGATTAATTTGCTTTCTTCGCATCGCAGGAGACGTTAAGGAGGTCAGAGCTGTTCCTTCCCAGAAGCTTCATCGCCTTGTGGAATTTTTCGACATTCGGGCAGCAGCCCATGCGCTGCAGAAGCTGACCGGAACAGAGCTGGCGGGCAGGAGGATAAAGGTTGAGTTTGCACGGCAGGGAGTCATGACAGAAGCAGTTGGAGCAGTTGGAGCAGTGGGGGCGGTGGGAGCAGGAGCAGTGGGATCAAGTGCAGCGGATGCATGGCAGCAACGTGGAAAGCGAAGGGGCCGATCTGGTGCTCACAGCAACAGCAGGAGTGAGAGCAGGGGCAGTAGCAGGGGTGATGGCAGCAGGGGTGACAGCATGAGCGGCAGCAGAGGCGGCAGCAGCTCATTGAGTCAGGCGTCTTTAACCTCCCCATCCCGCGGATCAGCCTTGCCGTCCCACGCATCGACTGCTAGCAGCAGCTCGTCAGCCTCGCCCCGGCATGAGTCAGAGCCTCCAGAAGGGGCCTCTCCTGCTGCACCATCGAGTTCCACTGCTGCTCCTGCTGTTCCTGCTGCTCCTTCCGAGCTTGATCATTCTCCAAAAGCTCCCGGGTGTGAAATCCCTGCTTTGAGAAGCCCAGGTGTGGAGAGCAGAGGTGGCAGGGGGGGAATGGGGACAGATGGGTTGCTGCTATCAGGATCGGCGCCTCATGCAGACGGCACCAGGGGGGATGCAGTGAGAGAGACGGATGCTGTAGCTTCCCTAGAGGAACAGGTTACAGGCGACTGTGAGAAGGTATTGAAGAAAGGTGAGAAATTATTGAAGGTTGCTGAGAAGGTATTAAAACAAATGCTTGGTGACAGAGCCGAGGACGTTTCTGATGAAGCTTCTGCGATATTTTCTGAAGCTGAGTTAGCAGCAGGTGCTGATGTGGGAGGGGGAGAGAAGGAGGGAAAGGTGATAGAGGACTCAGTGGTGAAGGATGGGTGTTCAACAGGAGAAAGAGAGGGCGAGAGTGGAGGGGAGAGTGCCAGGTCAAGAGGTGGCAGGGTGGCTGATGAGTCGGCGTCGCTGCATCAAGAAGAGCTGTCACTAGAGGAGCTGCTTCCTATCTCATCTCCGGGTCAGGAATCCAGGATGGATGACAGCACGCCAGGGGATTCCAACCCAGACATTTCTACACCAGTTACTACTGCACCCATCACTACTGCACCCATCACTACTGCACCCATCACTACTGCACCCATCACTACTGCACCCATCGCCAGTGCACCCATCACCACCGCACCCATCGCTACCGCAGTCAACACGAGCATGTCCACGAGCAGCACAGCGAGCGTCCAGAGCTCGCCAGACACGTGGAGGTCAGACGCGAGCGCACACAGCACCACCAGCACGACTGGCAGTTGCACTGGTAGCGGCGGCGGCGGTGGCGGTGGTGGTGGCGGTGGTGGTGGTGGTGGTGGTGGCGGTGGCAGTTTCCCTCCTGGCTGGCACTGGCAAGCCTCCTCTGTGACCCCTCTGCCCCACGCGCCCCTGCAGATTCCACAGGATTCCGCCCTGTCACATGGATATAGGCAGCATGGGTATGGGAGCAGTAGCACTGGTGATACCAGCTACAGCTACTCGCACCACCCACAGACGCAATTCTCCCCTGCTGCACCTGCAGCCTCAGCCACACCAGCAGCAACACCAGTCGTCACACCAGCAGCCACACGCCCCTGGTTCCGCCCTCCATTCCCAACCCCTCCTGCGTCTACCTTTGTTCAACCACACTTGGCCCCCTCGTTCTTTCAACCACGTTCCGCACCTCTGCCGAACCTTAGCCCTTCTGTCTCACAGGCATACGTCCTGGGAAGTCAGGCCTTCGGGGGTTACATGCATGAGGGGCAGCAGCAGCAGCAGCAATACCAGCAGCAGCAACGGCAGTACCAGCAGCAGCAGCAGCAGCAGCAGCAGTTTCAGCAGCAGCATCCGGGGCCATATGAGCCTCCTCACGCCCCTGTCTCGGTGCCTCTGCTGCAATATCCCCACACTGCCTACCCACACGCTCACTCCAACCTCATGCCCCTCATGCCCCACGCCCCACCCTCCGCACCTCACACTCACGGCCACGGCCCTCCCCAGTACGCCTACCAGTTTGCCCCAGGCATGCCGTACCTCCCACCTGGTGGGGCTGCATCCTCTGCTTATCTTCCCTACCCTCCTGCACCACCAATGCCCTTCCCTTCTCGCCATGCTGCGCATTCTCCCCTTGTACCTCATCTGCCGCCTCCTCCTCCTCCTCCTCCCCCTCTCCCTCCTTCGACTGCTCCCACTCATCTGTCCCTGGCTGCAATATCTGCCGGGGGGGCGTCTCCTGCTGTCTCGTTCCCCACTTCGCTCTCCTCCTCTCCCCGATTCCCTGCCACCCCCACTGCTAGTGCCTCCCATGCTTCTGCTGCTGCAACTGCTGCTGCCCCTGCTGCTGCTAACCCCGCTGCCCCTCCTACCCCCACTGCCCCTACTGGGTTTGCTATGTACGGCCATGCTACACTAACACCCATGGGCATGGGGTATCCTCCAATAGGAATTGTCGGAGCGGCAGCTGGAATGTTTCCATCTGCCCGTCCCGGGCAGATGCAGATGCATTGGAACGTGCCTGTGGCGCAAGGAAGTGGGGGTGGGGGAGGAGGGGGAGACGCAGGAGGCATGGGCGGGATGTGGATGGGGCGAGCAGCAGGGAGGGGAGAAGCTATGGGCGGGAGTGCAAGGCAGGGTTGGATGGAGGGGTGGGGTGGGGCGGGAATGGGTGGACACCTGCAGTATCGACTTGCCCATGCCCATCCACATGCACACTCGCATGTACATATCCATGCCCATACCCATGCCCGTTCCCATGCCCATGGGCGTGTGCATGGGCATGGTCATGGGGAGGGGCAGCATGCTACGGGGGGGGACGAAGATGACATGGCAGAGGTACGAAGCTGCACTCTTGCGAGATTCATGTGAAGGCATGCAGCTGCTGCTGCTTATTGTGGGGATGACCATGATGGCAACGAGGCTAGCTGTGTCGCATTCGCCCTTCTCCTTATCTTTTGCCTTGTCTGTCTGTGAAGCTTACCCAATCGTCGCCTTCTATCTCATCCACTCATTTGTTTTCTGCTGTACATCCTTCCTTCCCCTTGTCTCCTGTATTCCCCGCCCCTTCCCAACCTTTCTCTGTCCCCGTCGCCCCATGCCCAGTTCGCATTTGTCGAGGAGGCAGCCGCAGCAGTGGCCAGGAGAGAGGCCGCCCAGCTGGCTGCCACGTCAGCAGGCAGGTGGCACCATCACGGACGGACACGTGGCACTGCCGAAGAAACAGGGGAAGGGAGAGCAAAGGCGCATCGCCCTCTGACATGCTTGACTGATCTCGTCCAGAATGGCTTGAGTGGTTCAAGTGACTATCGGGGGAGCACAGGGAGGGTGGTGGTGTCTCTCCCCAGTGCGAGTGTTACACGTGCAGCGAGTGTTACACGTGCAGCGAGTGTTACACGTGCAGCGAGTGTTACACTTGCAGCGAGTGGAGGTGTGGCACTGGGAGAAGGAGACGAGAGCACGGGCGAGGGGAAAGAGGCAGTGGGAGAAGGGGAAAACACAACAGGAGGGGAGGTAGGGGGCGAAGGAGTAAATGTTGCCCGAGAGGAGGGCAGCGCGCACCAGGAGAAGCAGCAGAGCAGGGTACAGGGGGAAGCACAGGCTCAGGTGGAATCTCAGGGGGGTGCACAGGTGGAAGTCCAGGTTAACGATGGGGTGGCGAGGGGGCGGAGGGACGGCACGAGGACGACGGTGATGGTGCGCAACATCCCCAACCGCTACAACCAGGCCATGCTGCTGGCCCTGCTGGACGCGCACTGCCTGCACTGCAACTCGCACCCACGCTGCCGGCCCTGGGGTGGAGGGCGGGCTGGTGGGCGGGCGGTGGGTGATGGCGACGGTGGTGGTGTTGCTGGTGTTGGTTCTGTTACTGCTGCTGGTGGTGGTTGTACCGATGGAGATGGGAGCAATGGCAGTGATGCGGGGAGTGACAATGGCAGCAGTGGCAGTGGTGGGGGGAGTGGGGAGGAGGAGGAGCATTGGGAGCCGCTCTCTGCGTATGACTTTGTCTACCTTCCCATTGACTTCAAGTGAGTGATCCTTCCTACCGACTTCGAGTGATGATGCTCGTGCTTGTACCCGTGTGTGTGCTTTTGCTCGTGTGGTATTCCGCCACTCCCACCGCTCCTTACCGCTCACGACTGTGCTGCACCGCTGCAGGAACCGGTGCAACCTGGGGTACGCGTTTGTGAATCTGACAACGGTGACGGCAGCGCTGCGGCTGTTCCGCGCCTTCCACCTGCAGCCCTGGGAGGCTTTCAACTCGAGGAAGGTCTGCCGCATCTCCTACGCCCGCGTGCAGGTGCGTGGCTTCATTCACGTAGTCGAGGTGCGCTGTTCCGAAGTTCAGGTGCCACCGAGCTTCACATTCCGTGTCTTTGCTGTCTTTCTGACCAGGCTGTTTACGTCGCAATGGTTCGATGTGCAGGGTCGGGCGGCACTGGAGGAACATTTCCGCAACTCACGCTTCGCCTGTGACACGGAGGAGTTTCTCCCGCTCGTCTTCTCCCCGCCCCGCAACGGCATCTCCTGCCCTCCTCCCGTGCTTGCTGCCGGTCACATGGCAGGCCAGCAGGTAACCCTCACAGGCGGTAACCACCACAGCACGCTCACGTCTGACCCTAGATCTCCCAGGCGCGACGTATTGAACCCCGGCCTTTTGCCCGGCATGGGGTTGATGCGCTCGACGGCGCCAAGCTCGGTTGTATCGTCCAGGAATAGCTCGAGTGTCCCTTCTAGAACCACCTCAGTTGTGCCTTCTAGGACCAGCTCGTCTGTTTCTTCCAGGGCTGGCTCTCCGAGGTCAGATAAATAGAATGTTTTTATGGACTTGGTGTAGTGTAGGATGCAAGCATGCCTTGGTGATTCTTCCTTCAGGATTCAGTAGAAATATTTATGTACATGACATGACAGAGTACACCCAGATGGCCAGATAAAAACAGCAGCACGCTTTCAAACTTGGAGAAGGGGGCTGTTGTAGGCCAGCTGTGCGATTTCCAACCAGCTCGTCTGCTGCATACAGCTGGCGCGAATTTGGGACACGTCGACCAACATGGGACCACGGGAAGCATTTTGGCATTCCCAAGGGCATCATATCCAATCTTTTCTCGCCGGTCAGGGTCGCGCCTGACTGTAACCCGAGCGGGGGCCAAACCTTGGGATTGTCTCACACCTGCGAGACCCTCGGCCTGCCACATCGATGACTCGTCCACTCCAAGCTGAGAGTTCGCAGCGGCACCATCCCGGAAGGGGTGATGACAAAAACCCCCCGCTCCCAGCGGTGGAGGGATAGCGAGGCTGAGTGCGCGGCCGGGGTTTCCCTCGCAGGCTCGGGCCACGAGACCATTCCCACACCCTTTTTCCGTCCGTGCTTCCTTTTTCGCCATCGTCCTTTCTCCTAGGCCGTCTAGTTATTTTTACCTTCGTCCTCCTTCTGTGCCGTTGCTGAAGGATCCACTCCCGCGACAATATTTTTATTTCCGCCTGTTGGTCGTCACCAGCCACGAGTCTGCTCTGCATCATGGCTGGCTTTATCATGGTTGCGTTTCCCTTTCATGATGCATCGCGTACAGCAGTGCGAGTGCTCAGTAGTCCTGCAGTTGCCTCGATTCGCACGCGTGCAGCGCACGACACCGTGTGAAGGTCGCGTTGTACAGTCTGCTTAGCGTCCGCGCCCAATGCTCGACTGCAGCGCAGCATCGCGCACTCTTCCCGTCCTCGTTTCCTCTGCCCGCGCCCGCATCGCGCTCAAACACGCGTCCATGTACGAGTTTCTTCGCTTTGTACACGAGAAATCTGCAGAGTGTCGAGCCATTGCAGACTGAGGGGGTTTGCATCGGACGGTTGACCGGCAGAGACTTGCATTTGGGGGAGGATGTAAGTTCGAAACGGAGTGCGCGGTGAAGAGGGACACGATGACACAGCAACCATGCACGCGGGGCAAGGACGTGGGGCAAGGACGTGGGGCAAGGACGTGGGGCAAGGACGTTGGGGAAGGACGCGGGGGGAGGACGCGGGGGGAGGAAGCGGGAGGAGGACGCGGGGGGAGGACGCGGGGGGAGGACCTGGGGGGAGGACGCGCGGGGAGGACGCGTGGGGAGGACCTGGGGGGAGGACGCGCGGGGAGGACGTGCGGGGAGAACGTGGGGGGAGGACGCTTGCCATTATCGTCCAGGACGTGGACAGTAACGAGGACAAGAACTACATGGGATGTAAAGAAGCATGTGTAGCAGCTGAGAAACGGTTGTGGCCAAGTAGCGGAAGTTCTGGCGGGCAGGTGAAGAGGGAGGGGTGGGGAGGGGTGGGGTGTGGTGGCGGCAGTCAAGAAGTTACGGAGGGGTGTGGTGGAGGCATTTGCCTGTGGACTCCATTGGGTGTGGGAAGGGGGACCAGGGCATGGGGGAGAAGAAGGTAAGTCAGGGTAGAGGGTAAGGTAGGAGATACTCAGAGGAGCCCCTGCTTACTACCGGCTGTGGTTACCAGGTCGTGGTTACAAGCCGTAATTGCAAGAAAACCGTTTTCTGTGAAGCAGCTGTTAGTAGATTTTGTCTCACGGGTGTTGAGTGTCAGTCGCTGTTCATATGAATCTCCCCGCTATTCTCTCTTTTCCCCACTTGTCTCCTTCCCCCATTACCGCATGCACCCTCTTCTCCTGTCTCAATTCTTGCAGCAACGGCAGTTCCCAGTGCTAGTGTTGATGTCGCTGTTTATTTAGTCCAAAGATGCAGTCACACAGGATGAGTTTGTTGATGCGTCATGCTGTAAACAGTCATACTAGTTTGGGGAAGGAAGCACAAGGTGTGGACTTGGGTCAACACAACACGCTAGTTGCAGCACGAGCAGGTCCGCTTGTGAAGCCAAGCACTGCAGTCTGATGAGGTGTTCATTGAGGCTGTGCTCACGAGGCTGTGCTCACGATGCTGTGCTCACGATGCTGTGCTCACGATGCTGTGCTCACGATGCTGTGCTCACGATGCTGTGCTGCTGTGCTCATGATGCCGTGCTCAAGATGCTGTGTGAAAGTGGCTTGAATGCGTGTTGGTTATTGTTTGGTGTGTTGCAGGCAGTGCAGCTCCCCTGACGCCAGACACTCAGCCGTTTTTTCACTTGTGATGTGAAGCACCGGGACAACATTGTGTGTTTGCTTGTAGAGCAGCTTTGAAGTGACTTGGAAGGAGTAAAATGCATTGTGGTTGAACAAATCAGTGGCTTCTAATGAATCTGTATTGATACTGGAAACTTGTGCACTGTTTGTATCATCTATCATTCTCACAACATCCCCTCTTATGTGTTAAAGCGACGGGCAACTTTTGGCAGTGTTGGGTTCAGAAGTTTTTTTTTTGAACCAGGCTTGCCAGCGCGAAAGTGCTGGCTGGCGAAAACCAGGATTTCGTGCGGACACTTTCCATCCGCAGTAACAGTTCGCCAGGGTTCTGGGTTTTGGGTGGCAAATGTGCACCGTCGCTTTAAGAAAACTTTGACGGACGGCAGTTTGCAACTGGCGCCGTTACTGTTCATCAGGTTCTAGACGTCAATGTTGCTTTCGAGCATCCTGATCAACTGCAGTATTGGATGGAAAGAAGGATCTCGAAAACTCCTTGAAAAGAACCACCACTGACATGCATCCACGTGTGCAATAAGTTTTGGTGTAGTGCACCGTCAATTGCCTTCGAACCGTCAGTCAGACTTTATGACCAATATCCAGGATTCCAGGTTCGCGCACCAACCAAATGCTCACGCGAGGCTAAAGTGCCTATTGAACCTTGGGTGTCCGCCACGTGGAAGTTAACGTGGTGCTCACAGCCGCGAGCCTCACGGAACTGGCTCGAACCGTTCGTGCAGCTTTTCCATCCACGGATCACAATGCATGATCCACCAAGCCATAGGGTACACGCGCCTTTGACAACCAGCCAGCGAGATTTTCTCCAAACCGCACCTTTGATGTGAACAGCTGTGGTGACATGGCAATCGCCACTCACAAGTGTATTTCGGCATCTTCCGCGGCTCAGATTCGTGGAAGGAATCGATGGCGTGCATTGCAGGACACGGGCTTGGCCCACATCCATCCATCCATTGCCCATCCAACATCGGGTGGATCATGGGATGGTAGGATGCGGGGGGGAACACCACCCCACCACGCGTTCCCTGCGTATCCATCCATCCCCCAACCAGCCAACCCCAAGGGCAGCGCAGCGTCACATCAGTCAGTGCACCGCGAAAGGCAAGGTTGGTGGAGTGGGGAGGGGAAAGGCAAGGCCATCCTCCCCCCCAGCGACCGCGCACACATGCCTTTCTTCTTTATGATTTCCTCTGGAAATAAGCGCCCATAAAGAAGCTATTGTGTTTGCCAAGAGTTGAGCACAAGAATACTTGCTTCTCTCATCCCCCCATTTCCAGACGGACCCTTTACTCTACGTCGACTCCTCGTGTTGGGATCTTGTCTGCGGTTCCCAGGCTCGCACTCGCCACCACGCGCTGAACTTGAGATATTTGAACCAATAAGAGATTTAATTTGCGAGACTTGATATCGCTGAAGGCTCTCTACCATGGCATGCCATCTTCAGCAACCTTTTCTCCTCGGAACTCATGAATCATGCCGTGTTGCCACCCGTTCTCCAGTCAACCGCTCTCTTAAAGCAGCGACGCGTCGATCGTCGTCGCGCCAGCCGTTCGTAGCAATTCGAAGCCAAGGCGACGCGCACTGCAACTCAGCAGCCAATGATTTTCTTCCAGCAGAACGCGCAATTCCTCTCATCCGTTCCACGTCAGCAACCCCGGCCGCATCGGGCCCACAACGGGCGCAGCAGGGACGATACGGGGACGCGAAACGCGGTGCAGGTGCATCCCAGGGAAGTGTTAACTGGGCGCGGTTGCGCAGCCACATCGGCGTGACCTCCGTGAGCGCCGCGTCCTTCTCTTCCGCGAATAGGCGGAAAGAGGTGCGCGGATTCGTGGAAGAAGACGCGTCGCAGCGCGGGACCGGCGGAGACCAGACCGACGCGGAGTCGAAGCGCGCGGATCTCGAGGCAGGATGGCAGAGTGGTTCCGAGGGATCAATGCCGCCAATGGCGGCGCCAAATGCGGCGCCAGGCGCGGCGACAAGCTGTTCTCCCAGCGACGAGTTCGCGTGCACGATTGCCGGATGCACCCACGTCCACAGTAACGTCGGCTCCATGCGGAGGCTAGGAAACCTCTCGGAAACCTCCTTCCGAGCAGCTCCGCCGTCGGAATCGCGGCCGGTGCAGAGCGGTACCAAGGGGTTCAACCTGGGTCAATTTCTGTCGCAGCTGTTGCCGTACGTGGTGGTGGCGACGGCGGTGTCGGCGCTGACGTGGCCGGCGACGTTCTCGTGGTTCAGCAAGCAGTACTACGCGCCCGCTCTCGGCGGCATCATGCTCTCCATCGGCGTGCAGCTGTCCGTCGAAGACTTCAAGGCCGCCATTGAAAAGTAAGACGCGCCTCGACTGTCCCGAATGGCCACCTCTTTCTGTTCTGCACCTCCCTCATATGTGGGTGATCTATATCTGGTACCGCATTCCGCTGCAACTGGTCAGCTGTCCCACAGTTCCGTTCTTCAGTTTGTCTGCTCTCTGGCTAATTAGCGCTTTTAGCACCGGTGCTCACTGCTTTCCTCCCCTCTCCTCACGCTCTTCTCCCCCCCCGCCAGGCCTCTCCCCGTCATACTGGGCGTCCTAGTGCAGTACGCCGTCAAGCCGCTCATCGCGGCCGCCATAGCCGCCACCTTCCGCCTGCCGCCCGCGTTCGCCGCGGGCTTCCTCCTCACGGCCAGCGTGTCCGGCGCGCAGCTCTCCAGCTACGCGTCCTACCTGGCAAAGGCTGACGTGGCGCTCTGCATCGTGCTGACGAGCCTCAGCACCTTCGCCTCCGTGGCACTCACGCCCATCCTCACCTCGCTCCTGATTGGCTCAGCCGTCCCAGTCGACCTCCTAGCCATGTCCAAATCAATCCTGCAAGTCGTCATCCTCCCCGTCTCCCTCGGCCTCATCCTAAACACCTACGCGCGGAAATTCGTGGACCAGATTCGACCAATCATGCCGCTGCTAGCCATAGTGTGCACGTCCCTCTGCATAGGCAGCCCTCTAGCCATCAACCGGTCCCAAATCGTCTGCCTAAGCGGCCTCCTGCTGCTGCCGCCCGTCCTCGCCTTCCACCTCGCGTCCTTCGCCGCTGGCTTCTGGTCCGCGAAGCTCCCTGGAATGGGGCAGAGCGATGACGTGGCGAGGACTTTGTCTCTGTGCGGTGGCATGCAGAGCAGCACACTTGCCATGCTGCTGGCGTCTCAGTTCCTCGGGTCCACCCACACGGTGCCTGCCTCGGTCTCTGTTGTGCTCATGTCGATTATTGGGCTCAGCCTCGGGAGCTTCTGGGGGTCGGGAAGGAAGCTTCTGGACTGGAACATGGCTGGGCCTGTTGTGGGGGCCCATGCATACGCTGCTCCTGCTGAGGCGTAGCGGGGGGGAGCAATGCCAGGGTATACATTAGAGAATGACCGGAGGTTTTCTGCAGCGTTGTTTGCAGGATAGCTTGTAGCAGCTGCACAGGAGAGCGCAAGCTGGAAGGTGGAGCTGAAGGCAAGAGCTGGTTTCAGGAAGGAGAACATATGTTAGTTGCTGCCTGTCACGTGTAGTGTTGGTGGCCATTCTTTTTGGCATGGTTGTGTATAATCTGCAGCCATGTACATACATTTAGCATGAATATGCTGTGTTTCTAAATGGTGGCATTGGTTGGTTGGTGCTGTCATTGAAGCGGTCTAGTACAGTATAATTCATGTTAATCTTGGTTTTGACATGAAGCAGTATACACTACAGTGTGAACAGTCAGCTGCTCAGAGCATCAACATGATTCATACCATAGCTTGTTGGTTGTGTTGCAAGCATTTTTGTTGGAGCAGGGGTGTGGAGTGGTAGGTGCACAGATGGGGCGAACGCAGTGCAGGGTGGGGTAGCAGACATGGCGCACGGTGAGCTGGATGCAGCAGCCATATAGCGCATGCTGCAGCTCTCACAAGCCCTGCTCAGCCCAGCGGACCCTCCTACTCATAGCCCTCACGTCACGCCGCAAATCATCCTGACGGCCCTGACCGTTGTGCCCGTGTGGACAGGACACCCCTCATGGCCCCGTCATCCCTCACGCCTCCCATGCTGCTGCATTCGATGAAGCCAGTGCGCTGCTGGCTTGCTGTGACTACCAGAGTCTCTCGCCTCTGCAGTGCCTTCTGCTCCTCCCGCTGCTGCTTTTGAGCCTGCAAGCAGGCTTGCTGACCTGGTGCCTGCTGTGTCCCCACCATGCATGGGAGGGGACTTCAAACTGTCTGGCGGCCACTGCCTGCTGCCTCCTGCAGTGAGTGTGGCGCCGTGTGAGCCGGCAGATAGTGCGGCGAATACCCTCACCATTGATGCTGCCCAGGTCCAGCCATGCTTTGAGGAACTGCTGTCCCCTATGTCTAGGCTCCGGTAGTGTGTTGGATGGCAGCAAGAGTTTTCAGCAGTGAACAACGCACATTGCAAATGCCCAAAGCCCACTGTCTGCTGACGACATCAACTAACGTGACAGGATGTCCATACCATGTCCAGTGGAACTAGTGCTTCACGGCACGAGCAAGAGATGGTAGAGGTCATACGGACGGGAGAAATGAAAGACATCGGACCAGTGAAACCACTGCTTTCACGAGCAAGATAAGTTCAAAGAGTGCTAGTCAATCAGGTAACATTGAACAACCTAATATCAATGAAACCTCTCTTGGCCATCAAGGACTGTTGTCCCGATGTTCACCTGAACACCACGATGAGGTGGAGGTTCGACGTTCGGGAAAAAATGTTTTATGTTAATGCTCAATGTAACACAATGTATTATGCGAATGTTCAATGCACAATGTCCAAGCCATACCTGGACCACAGCAATGGCAATTGTTCACCAACAGCCATGAGGGTCCCACCTTGCCAACATAAAGAGGAGCATCCAGTCACTCCCTTTCGGAAACAACACGTCTCAAGAGGTTGCTTTTTGAGGTGCAAAGAGAGGAAGCGGAAAAGCGCGAACTGGCACAAGACTCAAATCCACCCCCCGGCGTAGCATGAGCCTGCCCGAACCAGAGCCGGCCGGCTCGGCTCCAGCAGGGCCTATTGTGCCTTAACGCCAGGTTCGTTACTTGAGCACCGAGGGCCGTCGCCGCGCTAGTTCCCCCGCCACCCCCGCACAACAAGCCACAAACCACCCAAGGATGCTGCCCCTAGGGAAGTGAGCTGCATGATTGCACCCTTGCTTACCTTACCTACCCCAAGGCAGTCATAAGACACTCACAACCAAGGCGACAAGCACACACATGAGGCAGTCATAACACACTCACAACCACATGAGGCAGTTATAACACACTCACAACCACATGTGGCAGTCATAACACACTCACGACCACATGAGGCAGTCATAACACACTCACAACCACATGAGGCACTCATAACACACTCACAACCACATGAGGCAGTCATAACACACTCACAACCACATGAGGCAGTCATAACACACTCACAACCACATGAGGCAGTCATAACACACTCACAACCACATGAGGCACTCGTAACACACTCACAACCATATGAGGCAGTCATAACACACTCACAACCACATGAGGCAGTCATATCACACTCACAACCACATGAGGCAGTCATAACACACTCACAACCACATGAGGCAGTCATAACACACTCACAACCACATGAGGCACTCATAACACACTCACAACCAGGGCAGCAAGCACACACATGCAGCAGTCATAACACACTCACAACCACATGAGGCACTCATAACACACTCACAACCAGGGCAGCAAGCACACACATGCAGCAGTCATAACACACTCACAACCACATGAGGCAGTCATAACACTCACAACCACATGAGGCACTCGTAACACACTCACAACCACATGAGGCAGTCATATCACACTCACAACCACATGAGGCAGTCATAACACACTCACAACCACATGAGGCAGTCATAACACACTCACAACCACATGAGGCAGTCATAACACACTCACAACCACATGAGGCACTCGTAACACACTCACAACCACATGAGGCACTCATATCACGCTCACAACCACATGAGGCACTCATAACACACTCACAACCAGGGCAGCAAGCACACACATGCAGCAGTCATAACACACTCACAACCACATGAGGCAGTCATAACACACTCACAACCACATGAGGCAGTCATAACACACTCACAACCAGGGCAGCAAGCACACACATGCAGCAGTCATAACACACTCACAACCACATGAGGCAGTCATAACACACTCACAACCACATGAGGCAGTCATAACACACTCACAACCACATGAGGCAGTCATAACACACTCACAACCACATGAGGCAGTCATATCACACTCACAACCACATGAGGCACTCGTAACACACTCACAACCACATGAGGCAGTCATAACACACTCACAACCACATGAGGCAGTCATATCACACTCACAACCACATGAGGCAGTCATAACACACTCACAACCACATGAGGCAGTCATAACACACTCACAACCACATGAGGCAGTCATAACACACTCACAACCACATGAGGCAGTCATAACACACTCACAACCACATGAGGCAGTCATAACACACTCACAACCACATGAGGCAGTCATAACACACTCACAACCATATGAGGCAGTCATAACACACTCACAACCACATGAGGCAGTCATAACACTCACAACCACATGAGGCAGTCATAACACACTCACAACCACATGAGGCAGTCATAACACACTCACAACCACATGAGGCAGTCATAACACACTCACAACCACATGAGGCACTCGTAACACACTCACAACCACATGAGGCAGTCATAACACACTCACAACCACATGAGGCAGTCATATCACACTCACAACCACATGAGGCAGTCATAACACACTCACAACCACATGAGGCAGCCATAACACACTCACAACCACATGAGGCAGTCATAACACACTCACAACCACATGAGGCAGTCATAACACACTCACAACCACATGAGGCAGTCATAACACACTCACAACCACATCAGGCAGTCATAACACACTCACAACCATATGAGGCAGTCATAACACACTCACAACCACATGAGGCAGTCATAACACTCACAACCACATGAGGCACTCGTAACACACTCACAACCATATGAGGCAGTCATAACACACTCACAACCACATGAGGCAGTCATATCACACTCACAACCACATGAGGCAGTCATAACACACTCACAACCACATGAGGCAGTCATAACACACTCACAACCACATGAGGCACTCATAACACACTCACAACCAGGGCAGCAAGCACACACATGCAGCAGTCATAACACACTCACAACCACATGAGGCACTCATAACACACTCACAACCACATGAGGCAGTCATAACACACTCACAACCACATGAGGCACTCGTAACACACTCACAACCACATGAGGCACTCATATCACGCTCACAACCACATGAGGCACTCATAACACACTCACAACCAGGGCAGCAAGCACACACATGCAGCAGTCATAACACACTCACAACCACATGAGGCAGTCATAACACACTCACAACCACATGAGGCAGTCATAACACACTCACAACCAGGGCAGCAAGCACACACATGCAGCAGTCATAACACACTCACAACCACATGAGGCAGTCATAACACACTCACAACCACATGAGGCAGTCATAACACACTCACAACCACATGAGGCAGTCATAACACACTCACAACCACATGAGGCAGTCATATCACACTCACAACCACATGAGGCACTCGTAACACACTCACAACCACATGAGGCAGTCATAACACACTCACAACCACATGAGGCAGTCATATCACACTCACAACCACATGAGGCAGTCATAACACACTCACAACCACATGAGGCAGTCATAACACACTCACAACCACATGAGGCAGTCATAACACACTCACAACCACATGAGGCAGTCATAACACACTCACAACCACATGAGGCAGTCATAACACACTCACAACCACATGAGGCAGTCATAACACACTCACAACCATATGAGGCAGTCATAACACACTCACAACCACATGAGGCAGTCATAACACTCACAACCACATGAGGCAGTCATAACACACTCACAACCACATGAGGCAGTCATAACACACTCACAACCACATGAGGCAGTCATAACACACTCACAACCACATGAGGCACTCGTAACACACTCACAACCACATGAGGCAGTCATAACACACTCACAACCACATGAGGCAGTCATATCACACTCACAACCACATGAGGCAGTCATAACACACTCACAACCACATGAGGCAGCCATAACACACTCACAACCACATGAGGCAGTCATAACACACTCACAACCACATGAGGCAGTCATAACACACTCACAACCACATGAGGCAGTCATAACACACTCACAACCACATCAGGCAGTCATAACACACTCACAACCATATGAGGCAGTCATAACACACTCACAACCACATGAGGCAGTCATAACACTCACAACCACATGAGGCACTCGTAACACACTCACAACCATATGAGGCAGTCATAACACACTCACAACCACATGAGGCAGTCATATCACACTCACAACCACATGAGGCAGTCATAACACACTCACAACCACATGAGGCAGTCATAACACACTCACAACCACATGAGGCACTCATAACACACTCACAACCAGGGCAGCAAGCACACACATGCAGCAGTCATAACACACTCACAACCACATGAGGCACTCATAACACACTCACAACCAGGGCAGAAAGCACACACATGCAGCAGTCATAACACACTCACAACCACATGAGGCAGTCATAACACTCACAACCACATGAGGCACTCGTAACACACTCACAACCACATGAGGCAGTCATATCACACTCACAACCACATGAGGCAGTCATAACACACTCACAACCACATGAGGCAGTCATAACACACTCACAACCACATGAGGCAGTCATAACACACTCACAACCACATGAGGCACTCGTAACACACTCACAACCACATGAGGCACTCATATCACACTCACAACCACATGAGGCACTCATAACACACTCACAACCAGGGCAGCAAGCACACACATGCAGCAGTCATAACACACTCACAACCACATGAGGCAGTCATAACACACTCACAACCACATGAGGCAGCCATAACACACTCACAACCACATGAGGCAGTCATAACACACTCACAACCACATGAGGCAGTCATAACACACTCACAACCACATGAGGCAGTCATAACACACTCACAACCACATGAGGCAGTCATAACACACTCACAACCATATGAGGCAGTCATAACACACTCACAACCACATGAGGCAGTCATAACACTCACAACCACATGAGGCACTCGTAACACACTCACAACCATATGAGGCAGTCATAACACACTCACAACCACATGAGGCAGTCATATCACACTCACAACCACATGAGGCAGTCATAACACACTCACAACCACATGAGGCAGTCATAACACACTCACAACCACATGAGGCACTCATAACACACTCACAACCAGGGCAGCAAGCACACACATGCAGCAGTCATAACACACTCACAACCACATGAGGCACTCATAACACACTCACAACCAGGGCAGCAAGCACACACATGCAGCAGTCATAACACACTCACAACCACATGAGGCAGTCATAACACTCACAACCACATGAGGCACTCGTAACACACTCACAACCACATGAGGCAGTCATATCACACTCACAACCACATGAGGCAGTCATAACACACTCACAACCACATGAGGCAGTCATAACACACTCACAACCACATGAGGCAGTCATAACACACACACAACCACATGAGGCACTCGTAACACACTCACAACCACATGAGGCACTCATATCACACTCACAACCACATGAGGCACTCATAACACACTCACAACCAGGGCAGCAAGCACACACATGCAGCAGTCATAACACACTCACAACCACATGAGGCAGTCATAACACACTCACAACCACATGAGGCAGTCATAACACACTCACAACCAGGGCAGCAAGCACACACATGCAGCAGTCATAACACACTCACAACCACATGAGGCAGTCATAACACACTCACAACCACATGAGGCAGTCATAACACACTCACAACCACATGAGGCAGTCATAACACACTCACAACCACATGAGGCAGTCATATCACACTCACAACCACATGAGGCACTCGTAACACACTCACAACCACATGAGGCAGTCATAACACACTCACAACCACATGAGGCAGTCATATCACACTCACAACCACATGAGGCAGTCATAACACACTCACAACCACATGAGGCAGTCATAACACACTCACAACCACATGAGGCAGTCATAACACACTCACAACCACATGAGGCAGTCATAACACACTCACAACCACATGAGGCAGTCATAACACACTCACAACCACATGAGGCAGTCATAACACACTCACAACCATATGAGGCAGTCATAACACACTCACAACCACATGAGGCAGTCATAACACTCACAACCACATGAGGCAGTCATAACACACTCACAACCACATGAGGCAGTCATAACACACTCACAACCACATGAGGCAGTCATAACACACTCACAACCACATGAGGCACTCGTAACACACTCACAACCACATGAGGCAGTCATAACACACTCACAACCACATGAGGCAGTCATATCACACTCACAACCGCATGAGGCAGTCATAACACACTCACAACCACATGAGGCAGCCATAACACACTCACAACCACATGAGGCAGTCATAACACACTCACAACCACATGAGGCAGTCATAACACACTCACAACCACATGAGGCAGTCATAACACACTCACAACCACATGAGGCAGTCATAACACACTCACAACCATATGAGGCAGTCATAACACACTCACAACCACATGAGGCAGTCATAACACTCACAACCACATGAGGCAGTCATAACACACTCACAACCACATGAGGCAGTCATATCACACTCACAACCACATGAGGCACTCGTAACACACTCACAACCACATGAGGCACTCATATCACACTCACAATCACATGAGGCACTCATAACACACTCACAACCAGGGCAGCAAGCACACACATGCAGCAGTCATAACACACTCACAACCACATGAGGCAGTCATAACACACTCACAACCACATGAGGCAGTCATAACACACTCACAACCAGGGCAGCAAGCACACACATGCAGCAGTCATAACACACTCACAACCACATGAGGCAGTCATAACACACTCACAACCACATGAGGCAGTCATAACACACTCACAACCACATGAGGCAGTCATAACACACTCACAACCACATGAGGCAGTCATATCACACTCACAACCACATGAGGCACTCGTAACACACTCACAACCACATGAGGCAGTCATAACACACTCACAACCACATGAGGCAGTCATATCACACTCACAACCACATGAGGCAGTCATAACACACTCACAACCACATGAGGCAGTCATAACACACTCACAACCACATGAGGCAGTCATAACACACTCACAACCACATGAGGCAGTCATAACACACTCACAACCACATGAGGCAGTCATAACACACTCACAACCACATGAGGCAGTCATAACACACTCACAACCATATGAGGCAGTCATAACACACTCACAACCACATGAGGCAGTCATAACACTCATAACCACATGAGGCAGTCATAACACACTCACAACCACATGAGGCAGTCATAACACACTCACAACCACATGAGGCAGTCATAACACACTCACAACCACATGAGGCACTCGTAACACACTCACAACCACATGAGGCAGTCATAACACACTCACAACCACATGAGGCAGTCATATCACACTCACAACCGCATGAGGCAGTCATAACACACTCACAACCACATGAGGCAGCCATAACACACTCACAACCACATGAGGCAGTCATAACACACTCACAACCACATGAGGCAGTCATAACACACTCACAACCACATGAGGCAGTCATAACACACTCACAACCACATGAGGCAGTCATAACACACTCACAACCATATGAGGCAGTCATAACACACTCACAACCACATGAGGCAGTCATAACACTCACAACCACATGAGGCAGTCATAACACACTCACAACCACATGAGGCAGTCATATCACACTCACAACCACATGAGGCAGTCATAACACACTCACAACCACATGAGGCAGTCATAACACACTCACAACCACATGAGGCACTCGTAACACACTCACAACCACATGAGGCAGTCATAACACACTCACAACCACATGAGGCACTCATATCACACTCACAACCACATGAGGCAGCCATAACACACTCACAACCAGGGCAGCAAGCACACACATGCAGCAGTCATAACACACTCACAACCACATGAGGCAGTCATAACACACTCACAACCACATGAGGCACTCATAACACACTCACAACCACATGAGGCACTCATAACACACTCACAACCACATGAGGCAATCATAACACACTCACAACCAGGGCAGCAAGTAACTGGGTCACTTGCTCACTCAGCAGGCACACTCACCACCGAATGCAGCAGATGGATGAACACTCAGCAGTTACAGGTACAACCAAATGCAGGAGCAGCAGATGGATAGTGAGCCAACAGCACGGGCGGCAGCAGCAACAACAGCCTTGCATGAACCAGGAATAAACGCTCTAGAACACACCTCAGTAGAGAGAGGCCCTGCCCCATGGGCATCCACACAGACAGCAGCTGTGGAGGCGGTGGAGGCAGAGGAGGCGGAGGAGGCGGAGGAGGCGGTGGAAGGCGGTGGAAGGCGGTGGAAGGCGGTGGAAGGCGGTGGAAGGCGGTGGAAGGAAGCGGGGCGCCAAGGATGTGCCCGGTGGAGGCGGGGTGCGGGGCGAGGCTCATGAGGGAAGCGGCATGACCAGCGCTCCCACGAGTACCGTGAGGTTGGGCACACGAGTACCAGGATGGCCTCCGCCCCCATGGAATCACCGCTGCACGCTTCATTGGCGACTGCAGATCCTGCTCCAATGTATGGGGGGACGGATGGGCAGGGAGGATGAGAAGGGGACGTCGGGAGGCGGGAGTCAGTGACGCGGAAACACACGAGCAAACGAGCAAGCAGCTCGTCAAATGGAAACACACGCGTCGACGCGGAGAGCAGAGGAGGGCGGCGGGAGTGGAGTGGGCAAGGGAGGGGAGAAAGGATGGGAGAAAGGAAGGGGACCACACTCACACTCACCCCGAGCAAGTCAAGCACAGCGGCGTTGACGCGGTGAGCCATGATGTGAGCTTCACGGCTTTGGCGCACCGCATGTCCAGGTGGTCAGATCAGCGGCCAGCTCAGGAAAACGCGGTGAGCCATCACGATGAGCTTGTCGGATCTGGCGTGCTGCATGTTGTCCGCGCTCGCCAGCATGTGCCGAGCTCGGGGACCGCGCCACCTTCCGTGTGGACCGCACTCGCCAGCATGTCCCGAGCCCTGGCCATCTTGGCGGGCTCAGGGGAACGCCACCCGCACCACTCGCGCACCACTCGCGCACGCGCCGCATGGCGCACGTCGTCCCTCGTATGCGCATGGCGCACGTCGTCCCTCGTATGCGCATGGCGCACGTCGTCCCTCGTATGCGCATGGCGCACGTCGTCCCTCGTATGCGCATGGCGCACGTCGTCCATCGTATGCGTGCTCGGGTTGCAGGGTTGCGTCGTCCCTCGTCCCCCCTCGTCGCGAGTCCACCGTCGCCGCGCTTCCCCCGTCGCCACGCGTATCCCCTCGTCGCGCATCCCCCCTCGCCGCGCCTCCTCCCTCGCCGCGCCTCCGCCCTCGTCGCGCGTCTCCCCTTAGTCGCTGCCTCCCGTTGCCTCCATGTTCCACGCCTTTCGCTCCCCTCTTCGCCCTTACGCCACTCCCTCACGTCAACGGACGCTCGCTCCGTGATGTCTCGCCCGTCGCTTGGCGCCTCGCCCGTCGCTTGGCGCCTCGCCCGTCGCTTGGCGTGTCGCCCGTCGCTTGGCGCCTCGCCCGTCGCTTGGCGTGTCGCCCGTCGCATGGCGTCTCGCCCGTCGCTTGGCATCTCGCCCGTCGCTTGGCATCTCGCCCGTCGCTTGGCGCCTCGCCCGTCGCTTGGCGTGCCACCCATGGCTTGGCGTGTCGCCGTCGCTTGGCGTCTCGCCCGTCGCTTCGCGTCTCGCCAGTCTTGCTCGCGCTGCCGTGCGATAATTCCGCGCGTCCCCTTGTCGCGCGCCTCCCGTCTCCAATCGCCTACCATCCTCGCGCGTCCACTGGCGTCGCGCGTCCCCGTCGTCCCCCCGTCCAGCTCCTTAATCGACGCAAGACGCTTCCTTTCCCTAATCGAGCATTGCTGCGCCGTTCCCCTCCTTCAGTCGCAGCCGTTGCATCGTCGCTGCCTCCCGTCGTCGCGCGACCCACTGTCGTCACGCGTCCCACTGTCGCGGGATGATCACCGGTGGGAGGAGTCAGATTTTCGCTGGAAGCAGCGGCACCGGCGTGAACCGTCTCCGTCACGACGTGGAACCACCCTCACTCTTGCTGCTCGGACGGAGATTTCGCCGTGCTCGCTCTCCAAGCTCGAAAGGAGATTTTGCCGCAACAAGAAGAATCGTCGCCGCAACGACATCGCCGGCGCCGGCCGACTCTGCCAGCGACCGTTGACCGTGATCAACAAGAACTCCAGGCGATCGACAAGTCAGTATTCTTTGTGCACGGGTCTGCGGTGCTCGCTTCTGCATCATCTGCTGCATCCGCTTCTGCCGATACTCTATGCGTGACAGTTGACGTTAAACGTGTCAGGGCTGCTACAGCGATTCGCTGCTTTTAGTGCGGCTACAAATGATGGCTATAGTCGCAACTACTGTGCGTAAGAGTAATCCGTGCAGATAATGACTTGCTCGTCGCACAGCTACTCAACGTGTTCACGATTCGTGCAGCATTGATAGCCTTCGACAGTTCGCGAATGCTCGCCTTAACTTCCACAAGAGCTGCTGGAGTCTAGCTGGATGCAGAAACTATCTGATACGTGCTAAAGATAACGTCAAAATCTACTAAATCTGGAACCATTTCAACACTCGTAAGTTTGCCAGCTAGTTCGAGCGATCTGAAGCACTGTATAATAACGTGATCAATCTGACACTATCCCGCTGCGTGATCATAACACAATCAGACCGATCTAGGCATTTGGAGGAAGCCATGGCGGCGAGGTGGCAAGTGAGGTAAGAGGCAGATATGAGAGCAAGCGAGCAGGAAGGGGAGGGCTTTGGCAGACAGAGAGCAAGGATACAAAACAAGCAGTCTTGCCGTTCCTGCCCTACCAGCACGGCAGGAAAAACCTTTTGCGCGGGCTCTGATCGAAGCTCGCTCCAAGCAAGTCCAAACCAGAAGCGAGCAGGTTCGGACCAGGAAGTGTAACAAAATCGGAGGGAAAATAGGCTCGGCAATTCAAATTTGGCAGGCGGCGACAAGAGGAGACGAGCCGCCTGACACAAACCCGAAGCAAGTGCTGGCAGCTCCGTCGCAAAACCAACGAAACTTGTTTGTCCTCGCTCAAGCAAAGATTCGCTTTTACTGAAATTTATTATTCCGCGAATCCTGCTAATTTATGATTCGCTTTTACGTACTTGGCCTTTTGAAGCATTATGATATGGAGAACTTCTACTGTAAAGGAATCAGATTCAAGTTCTTACCATATTATATAAATAATCAGATTTTATGGCAGGAACATGTTCGATCGATGGACAGATGGATCCAAAATAACATTTCATCCAATAACGCGTATGGCATCTAGGCTTTCAAAGGGCAGGCCAGACACAGAGCCTCCTAGGCTCAGCACTCTTTGTAGTAGCTTCAGTGCCTCTGCAGTGACCACCTCCCCCGGCAGCAGCACTGGGATTCCAGGCGGGTACGGGCACAGCATGTCCGCACTGTAGCGCCCCACCGCCTGCTGAGCTGGTACAACCTCACTGGGCCAGAAAAACGCGTCCCGTGGGGGTAATTGTGGGCAGCACACTGAAGTCCCGTTGCTGGTCGGTGGTGCAACCGGAAACAACACACCTTTTAACTTTACTTCGCCCTCCTCCCACTCTGCTGCTTCCACCCTCTCACTCACTCCTCTCTCCTCCACCATGGCAGCGAATGCAGCAACAACACGGTCCACATCGCTGTCAGTGCTGCCAGTGCTGACAGCAAACATGATGCCATGCAGGAAGGGCAGCTCTGCCACCACCCCATGCGTCAGCCTCAGCACATCGTCAGCCTCGTACCCTGTCAGCCCCAGCTCCCTCACGCTCACTGTCACCCGCAGCGGGTCAAACCCTGCATGCCTCTCGGGCTGTTTATGGCTTCCCGAGGGTTGGGCTGGGCTGAGGAGGACTCGCAGGTTGAGCGCAAGCAGGGAGGAGCGCAGGCGGGTGGCGAGGTGGAGGGCATGAGCGAGGGCGGAGGGGAAGGAGGGGCGGGCGACGTGGCCGGTGGTGGCGTCGAGGGACGCGAGGAGCAGGTAGGAGGGCGACGACGACTGCAGCAGCTGCAGTGCACGCGCCACGTCTCGCGGGCTTACACGGGGTGATGGCGGCAGTGGTACTTCTGGCTGTGGCGCTGCTGCTGAAGGTGGTGGTACTGCTGACTGCAATGGTGTTTCTGGCGGTTGTGGTAATGCGGCTTCACCCACATTCTCAACCGACGAGCCTGAGTCGCCATGGCCGATATGCAGCATGGCGGACTGAGTCAGCGATCCCAGCACCTTGTGCGTCGACTGCACTACTATGTCTGCCCCCGCCTCTAGCGCCGTCTCTGGGAGCGCGCTGTGGAACTTAAAATGCGCTCCGTGCGCCTCGTCTACGATTAACGGCGTGCCTGCCTCGTGGCAGGCCCGGGCGATTCCCCTGATGTCGCTGCATTGACCGTAATAGGTCGGGGAAACCACCAGAACAGCCCCTATTCGCGCTCCGGTGGCAGCCACGTGGCGTATTGCTTCTGTGACACGATCCAGGGTAACTCCGTGAGCAATACCCCAGGAATGATCAGTCACAGGGAGGATATAGTGCGGCACGGCTCCACATAGCACCATACCGGAAAACGCGCATTGGTGAGAGTTGCGCGGGAGAATAAGGACGTCGCCGGGTCGGCAACAGGCTACTATAGCTGCCTGCACGCCTACAGTGCTGCCGTTGACTAAGAAACGGGTCTCCGACGCGCCGAATACTCTCGCTGCACGCTCCTGCGCCTCGGCTATGACGGCTTCTGGCGCGAAGAGGTTGTCGAGATCCGGCAGCTCCGGCAGATCGTGACGGAAAACGTCAGAGCCGAACGCGGAGAGCGCACGGGGAGGCGCTCCGAGCCCTCTGCGATGAGCCGGAAAGTGGAAGCTTGCCACGTCAGCATCCGCGTTGCACGTCAGCGCGTCGAGAAGAGGATCGGATTGATTCGACTCGGAAGCTTCGATCGTTAACTCGGAAGCTTCTGAAGATCCTAATGAATCATCGAGACATTGGATCAGCGACTGGGATGATTCTGCTTGGCATGAAAGCGGGGAAACGCGACAGTTGCGGGGTGCGGAGCGAACCGCAAGCCTCGAATTCAGCGGAAGTGAGCGGCTGAACGATGACGCCGTGGATAATCCAGCCCTTGTGAACGCAGCTGGCGAAGACAATGCCGTCATTTCTGAACGCCGTCCAACTCCGGCCTCACAGGCGTACCACTCAGTTACACGGTGTGCATCAACAATGGCGAAATGGTAGTCGAATAAGCTATAAGTTCTACATGGCTGGCTTGGAACCAGGCAGCCATAAACAATCAACAATGAAGTGATCCAAGGAAATATATGAGGCAAAGTGAATTCCGCTTCTTTCTGCTGCTGATTGAAGGTGAAAATGGGAAGCAGAAACTGTGAAGCTGGGCGAAACGATTTGCGACATTTGTTACTCGCTCGCACGGGAAACTTATTGCCCTTCGTTGTTACAGAGCACTCAAATGTTCATACGAGCCCTGTCGGAGAAACACGGGCGAATCCGCGATCGCTTCCGCGTGCTCGCGGAAGCGAGCTGCCCGCGGGCAAGAAAAAAACTAAAACCCACTCGGAAGGCATGCGGCTCGGGAGCATCAACCCTAAAATTTTAGGGTTGAGGCTCCCGAACGGCATGCCGGTCGCGATGGGGAATAGTTTGTTTTGCCCCGGGCAGAAGGCTTCCGCCGGCTTCGCGTCCTGGTGGAAACGACTTCCACCAGGAGAGGGACCTGGTGGGTTTGCGCCCACCAGGGCTCGTAGGAACTCTCGAAGTGAGCCAATCTTCGCGTACCTCCGCACTTCTCTCCTCCCCCTTTGCGCCACCTCCCGTGCCCTTTCCCCGCCATTCCCCCCTCCCTGCCTTGAAGCAACCCTATTTTCCGACTCCCCCCGCCAGCCTGTGTGCTTCCCATCCCGCATCACCACTTCTCCACCACACCACGCCACGTTCATCCCGTCTCCGCCATTTCCTCACGCCTCGTCTCGCGGGTAGCCTCGTGAGTATCCGTCAAGTGGAGGGAGTGAATCAGTAGTAAACTATGGCGGCTTCGTCGTACTGGCGCGCAGCGGGGATGACGTATCTCGCGTACGCGAATCAGTGCGCCGCGCATCTGCGGGCGTGCCTCAAGGAGCCGCTTAAGTCGCAAGCGATCGCGCGCGAGCAGGTGTATTACAAGGTCGTGCAGTGGAAGGAGGGCGTGCCGGATAAGCCAGGTGCGTATCTCGAAGGTCTCGTCGCCGCACGTCGTTTATGCACAGCGATCGCCATAGATTCACTCATCGATCAGCTACAGGGTAGATCACCAGCCAAAATTTCCCGCCATTTTTGCCGGCGCTCCCGCCATTTCTGCTGAAGTCCCCCGACTTCCCCTAATGCAGCTGGCGTCCATAGCTGAGCCATAATATTCCTACTGTTCCTATGTAGTAACAAGCCTTGTGATGTGATCCGGTAATAATCTCCCTTCGTGCATGTCCCTCCATGTCTCTACTGCAGTGATCCGGCAAGTCTCTGAGGCGGTGAAGTCATCTGCTTGATCCAAGGCTGTCTGATCCGATCCGAGCACCTCTCTTCCTATCCACTCCTTGGCCTGGGGTTGACATGACACAAGGGCCGTTGGCTGCTGCTGTGATGCATGCTTGCGTGTATTGGTGACTCGTATGGGTTCTTCTTGCAGATCACTTAATGTGAAGAGATGCATCTTGTTTTCACCCTGTTGGAGGCTGGTGGTGAGTCACCTGTATGTTGAGTTGAGTTGAGTGGTACTAGTCTTTCAGATCAGATTGTACAGTGTCTGGCTGTGGCCTTCTGTAGGAATCAGACAGATTAATCACTACATGGAAGGAATGACAAGATGAGGTAGTACCAGTCCTGCCAGCCACCATTCCCTGCTGTTACTGTGTCCACCACCATTCCACCCGCCTCAATTACCTACAATGCTATGCTTCAGCTTTCCAAGAGAAAAAAAAAGCGTGTTTGCAGGTGTCCACCACCATTCCCTGCTGTTAGTGTGTCCCTGCCATCATTATCTGCTGTTAGTGTGTCCCTGCCATCATTTCCTGCTGTTAGTGAGTCCCTGCCATCATTCCCTGCCGTTGGTGGGTTCCTGACTTGCCAGCCCAACCACTCCCTGTTGTTGTGCCTAACAGACCCCCTGCACCACCCCATCCCCTGTTGCTAACCTTGACCGTACCATACCTCCCACCTTTACCACTTGAACATACCTCGTACCATACCACAACATTGCTCCTACCTACTAAAATTCCCCGGCATCATGGCCCAGCCAGACCTTCGACGTCACAGAATGAACTACCAGCTAGTGCTATGTCTAATCTTGTGACTCAGTGACTATGTCTGCCACAAATGTAGCACCCTTGGTCATGATTCGTCTATCTTCCCTTCCCACTCTGTAGCTGCTCACATAAAATACAGGAGGGAGCATCCACCAGAATAAACTGAGTATGGATCATTGTTGGTTCAAAAAGACATAGATATGAGAAGAGAGTTCCTGCATGGCAAAGAGTGAAATGATGTAAGAGGGAATTGCAACATCAATGCGCAGCAAAATGCAGAGTGCGAGTGCTGCTGAGCGCATGGGGCCCTACACCAAAGAAGGGTTTGGGATGTCGATCCTTTGCAGGGCTCTTGCATGAGGGCAGAGTGGAGCTCATGGAATAAAGCATGAGACGGAGCAAGAGGAGAAGAGCAACATGGGAGCAAAGATGGCGACATGACAGGTTGATGGCGCCAGACGCTTTCACTCACTGGACTCACAGGAAGGAGAAGCATTGACTCACTGGAAGGAGAACTGTTGACTTACTGGAAGAAGCGTTGACTCACTGGAAGGAGAAGCGTTGACTAACTGGAAGAAGCGTTGACTCACTGGAAGAAGCGTCGACTCACTGGAAGGAGAAGCGTTGACTCATAGGAAGGAGAAGCGTTGACTCACAGGAAGGAGAAGCGTTGACTCACAGGAAGGAGAAGCATTGACTCACTGGAAGGAGAAGCGTTGACTCACAGGAAGGAGAAGCATTGACTCACTGGAAGGAGAAGCGTTGACTCACTGGAAGAAGCGTTGACTCACTGGAAGGAGAAGCTTTGACTCACAGGAAGGAGAAGCATTGACTCACAGGAAGGAGAAGCTTTGACTCACAGGAAGGTGAGAGAGAAGAATAACAGGAAGGTGAGGGCATTGGCCCACTGGAAGGTCAGGAAGTTGACTCACCGGAGGTAGCAGTTGAAGAGCCACGGTGGTAGCAGTTGTAGAGTCACGGTGGTAGCAGTTGAAGAGTCACGGTGGTAGCAGTTGAAGAGTCACGGTGGTAGCAGTTGAAGAGTCACGGTGGTAGCAGTTGAAGAGTCACGGTGGTAGCAGTTGAAGAGCCACGGTGGTAGCAGTTGAAGAGCCACGGTGGTAGCAGTTGAAGAGTCACGGTGGTAGCAGTTGAAGAGTCACGGTGGTAGCAGTTGAAGAGTCACGGTGGTAGCAGTTGAAGAGTCACGGTGGTAGCAGTTGAAGAGCCACGGTGGTAGCAGTTGAAGAGTCACGGTGGTAGCAGTTGAAGAGTCACGGTGGTAGCAGTTGAAGAGTCACGGTGGTAGCAGTTGAAGAGCCACCCACAGATGCTGCCCCGTATTCCCTCCCTCCCCTCCCGCACTAGCGCTCTGCACTTGTACTCTGCGCTCCCGCTGCAGCAACTGGTGTTGCCATCGTGCCACTCAGCTTCCTTTGCTGCTTCATGAGTGGCCTGAGGGGAATGGGGCAGGGCGGAGGGAACAGGGCAGAGCGGAGGGAGTGGGGCAGGGTGGAGAGAATGGGGCAGGGGGGAGGGAATGGGGCAGAGCGGAGGGAAGGGCAGCAGGCGAGTGAGTGCAGGCCAAGAAACAGGCACGATATATGTAAGAACATTAGCATGCTTCCTGCTGCCAGCCTTGCATGCTTCCATGCTGCCAGCCTCGCATGCTTCCATGCTGCCAGCCTCGCATGCTTCCTGCGACCTACTCAGGGGTGTAGAACTGGGAACAGTGGCATACCTTGATCGGTCACGGCCAGCCCCATACTCTCCCTGGTAAAAGCGCTGCCTCCCTGCAGTGGATGGTCCCTCTGCTGTGGAAGATCCCTCTGCTGTGGATGGTCCCTCTGCTGTGGAAGGTCCCTCTGCTGTGGATGGTCCCTCTGCTGTGGATGGTCCCTCTGCTGTGCCACAAGCTCTTCAGAAGGCGGGAAAACCGAGCTCCCTGCTGCCCACTGCGCTTGGCAACCGGTTGCTGCTGCTGCTGCTGCTGCCTTTGCTGCCACAGGGGGGGAGGTTGAGGGACGGGGGGAACAGGATGCATGCAACAAGAACTGGAGCAAGCAAGACGCATGGGAAGGTGCAGGAGTGCATGAAAACGAACGAGTCAAAACCACAACGACATGGAGGGGTTGGGAGGAGCGTGGGAGGCGAAGGGAGTGTGGCGAATGGCAGCCCGTGGCAGTTTGGCAGCGAGCGAGCTTGCAGGGGGGGACTGAGGAGGAGGAGGACGCGGGCATGAGGATGAATGCATTCTATTCTAACCCCCTACAACTCTAATGTACATGCGCTCAGCTGCCTTTTGCCACGGCCCACCATCGCCACACGCCCTCACACTCCCACCCGCACTCGAACAATTTTCGAAAAGTTTTGGAATCGTATTGTGCGCGAAAAGCGAGACAAGAGAAACGGGAGTGGAGTTGAGAGGACTTCACCGGGAGTGGCTGTGGCTGAACGCTCTGGCTGAACGGCATAGCTTCTCCTCCGACTCTCTCGTCCGTCGCCCGTCACTGAGGCGCGTCGCTCGCAATTCGCCGCCCGCCGTTGGCCGTGTGTCGTTGCTCGCTTCCCGCTCGTTCGCCGTGTGTCGTTGCTCGCTGCTCGCTCATTCGCCGTGCCTCGTTGCTCGCTGCTCGCTCATTCGCCGTGCGTCGTTGCTCGCTGCTCGCTCATTCGCCGTGCGTTGTTGCTCCCGAGTCGCTCGCTGGCCCGTCACTCGTGGCTCGCTGCCCTGACAGGCGGGAAAGGAGGCATGCAACAAAGAGTGGGGTGGGGCGGAGGGAATGGGGCAGAGCGGAGGGAAGGGCAGCAGGCGAGTGAGTGCAGGCCAAGGAACAGGCACGAGATATGTAAGACCATTAGCAAGAAAGACTTCACACGGAATGGAGGAAACTGAGGGGTGGTGGGGGAGGAGGGAGGGACGGGGGGGAGGAGACATACAGCGAAAACTGGAACTAGAGAGAAGGATGGGAAGTGGGATGGGCGGAGCTGAACTGGAAGCAAATGAGCACATGGCAGCACGGCATGGGAGGGGTGGAGAGCGGTGTTTGCGACCTACTCAGGGGTGTAGAACTGGGAACAGTGGCATACCTTGATCGGTCACGGCCAGCCCCATACTCTCCCTGGTAAAAGCGCTGCCTCCCTGCAGTGGATGGTCCCTCTGCTGTGGAAGGTCCCTCTGCTGTGGATGGTCCCTCTGCTGTGGATGGTCCCTCTGCTGTGCCACAAGCTCTTCAGAAGGCGGGAAAACCGAGCTCCCTGCTGCCCACTGCGCTTGGCAACCGGTTGCTGCTGCTGCTGCTGCTGCTGCTGCTGCTGCTGCTGCCTTTGCTGCCACAGGGGGGGAGGTTGAGGGACGGGGGGAACAGGATGCATGCAACAAGAACTGGAGCAAGCGAGACGCATGGGAAGGTGCAGGAGTGCATGAAAACGAACGAGTCAAAACCACAACGACATGGAGGGGTTGGGAGGAGCGTGGGAGGCGAAGGGAGTGTGGCGAATGGCAGCCCGTGGCAGTTTGGCAGCGAGCGAGCTTGCAGGGGGGGACTGAGGAGGAGGAGGACGCGGGCATGAGGATGAATGCATTCTATTCTAACCCCCTACAACTCTAATGTACATGCGCTCAGCTGCCTTTTGCCACGGCCCACCATCGCCACACGCCCTCACACTCCCACCCGCACTCGAACAATTTTCGAAAAGTTTTGGAATCGTATTGTGCGCGAAAAGCGAGACAAGAGAAACGGGAGTGGAGTTGAGAGGACTTCACCGGGAGTGGCTGTGGCTGAACGCTCTGGCTGAACGGCATAGCTTCTCCTCCGACTCTCTCGTCCTTCGCCCGTCACTGAGGCGCGTCGCTCGCAATTCGCCGCCCGCCGTTGGCCGTGTGTCGTTGCTCGCTTCCCGCTCGTTCGCCGTGTGTCGTTGCTCGCTGCTCGCTCATTCGCCGTGCCTCGTTGCTCGCTGCTCGCTCATTCGCCGTGCGTCGTTGCTCGTTGCTCGCTCATTCGCCGTGCGTTGTTGCTCCCGAGTCGCTCGCTGGCCCGTCACTCGTGGCTCGCTGCCCTGACAGGCGGGAAAGGAGGCATGCAACAAAGAGTGGGGTGGGGCGGAGGGAATGGGGCAGAGCGGAGGGAAGGGCAGCAGGCGAGTGAGTGCAGGCCAAGGAACAGGCACGAGATATGTAAGACCATTAGCAAGAAAGACTTCACACGGAATGGAGGAAACTGAGGGGTGGTGGGGGAGGAGGGAGGGACGGGGGGGAGGAGACATACAGCGAAAACTGGAACTAGAGAGAAGGATGGGAAGTGGGATGGGCGGAGCTGAACTGGAAGCAAATGAGCACATGGCAGCACGGCATGGGAGGGGTGGAGAGCGGTGTTTGCGACCTACTCAGGGGTGTAGAACTGGGAACAGTGGCATACCTTGATCGGTCACGGCCAGCCCCATACTCTCCCTGGTAAAAGCGCTGCCTCCCTGCAGTGGATGGTCCCTCTGCTGTGGAAGGTCCCTCTGCTGTGGATGGTCCCTCTGCTGTGGATGGTCCCTCTGCTGTGCCACAAGCTCTTCAGAAGGCGGGAAAACCGAGCTCCCTGCTGCCCACTGCGCTTGGCAACCGGTTGCTGCTGCTGCTGCTGCTGCTGCTGCTGCTGCTGCTGCTGCCTTTGCTGCCACAGGGGGGGAGGTTGAGGGACGGGGGGAACAGGATGCATGCAACAAGAACTGGAGCAAGCGAGACGCATGGGAAGGTGCAGGAGTGCATGAAAACGAACGAGTCAAAACCACAACGACATGGAGGGGTTGGGAGGAGCGTGGGAGGCGAAGGGAGTGTGGCGAATGGCAGCCCGTGGCAGTTTGGCAGCGAGCGAGCTTGCAGGGGGGGACTGAGGAGGAGGAGGACGCGGGCATGAGGATGAATGCATTCTATTCTAACCCCCTACAACTCTAATGTACATGCGCTCAGCTGCCTTTTGCCACGGCCCACCATCGCCACACGCCCTCACACTCCCACCCGCACTCGAACAATTTTCGAAAAGTTTTGGAATCGTATTGTGCGCGAAAAGCGAGACAAGAGAAACGGGAGTGGAGTTGAGAGGACTTCACCGGGAGTGGCTGTGGCTGAACGCTCTGGCTGAACGGCATAGCTTCTCCTCCGACTCTCTCGTCCGTCGCCCGTCACTGAGGCGCGTCGCTCGCAATTCGCCGCCCGCCGTTGGCCGTGTGTCGTTGCTCGCTTCCCGCTCGTTCGCCGTGTGTCGTTGCTCGCTGCTCGCTCATTCGCCGTGCCTCGTTGCTCGCTGCTCGCTCATTCGCCGTGCGTCGTTGCTCGCTGCTCGCTCATTCGCCGTGCGTTGTTGCTCCCGAGTCGCTCGCTGGCCCGTCACTCGTGGCTCGCTGCCCTGACAGGCGGGAAAGGAGGCATGCAACAAAGAGTGGGGTGGGGCGGAGGGAATGGGGCAGAGCGGAGGGAAGGGCAGCAGGCGAGTGAGTGCAGGCCAAGGAACAGGCACGAGATATGTAAGACCATTAGCAAGAAAGACTTCACACGGAATGGAGGAAACTGAGGGGTGGTGGGGGAGGAGGGAGGGACGGGGGGGAGGAGACATACAGCGAAAACTGGAACTAGAGAGAAGGATGGGAAGTGGGATGGGCGGAGCTGAACTGGAAGCAAATGAGCACATGGCAGCACGGCATGGGAGGGGTGGAGAGCGGTGTTTGCGACCTACTCAGGGGTGTAGAACTGGGAACAGTGGCATACCTTGATCGGTCACGGCCAGCCCCATACTCTCCCTGGTAAAAGCGCTGCCTCCCTGCAGTGGATGGTCCCTCTGCTGTGGAAGGTCCCTCTGCTGTGGATGGTCCCTCTGCTGTGGATGGTCCCTCTGCTGTGCCACAAGCTCTTCAGAAGGCGGGAAAACCGAGCTCCCTGCTGCCCACTGCGCTTGGCAACCGGTTGCTGCTGCTGCTGCTGCTGCTGCTGCTGCTGCTGCTGCTGCTGCTGCCTTTGCTGCCACAGGGGGGGAGGTTGAGGGACGGGGGGAACAGGATGCATGCAACAAGAACTGGAGCAAGCGAGACGCATGGGAAGGTGCAGGAGTGCATGAAAACGAACGAGTCAAAACCACAACGACATGGAGGGGTTGGGAGGAGCGTGGGAGGCGAAGGGAGTGTGGCGAATGGCAGCCCGTGGCAGTTTGGCAGCGAGCGAGCTTGCAGGGGGGGACTGAGGAGGAGGAGGACGCGGGCATGAGGATGAATGCATTCTATTCTAACCCCCTACAACTCTAATGTACATGCGCTCAGCTGCCTTTTGCCACGGCCCACCATCGCCACACGCCCTCACACTCCCACCCGCACTCGAACAATTTTCGAAAAGTTTTGGAATCGTATTGTGCGCGAAAAGCGAGACAAGAGAAACGGGAGTGGAGTTGAGAGGACTTCACCGGGAGTGGCTGTGGCTGAACGCTCTGGCTGAACGGCATAGCTTCTCCTCCGACTCTCTCGTCCGTCGCCCGTCACTGAGGCGCGTCGCTCGCAATTCGCCGCCCGCCGTTGGCCGTGTGTCGTTGCTCGCTTCCCGCTCGTTCGCCGTGTGTCGTTGCTCGCTGCTCGCTCATTCGCCGTGCCTCGTTGCTCGCTGCTCGCTCATTCGCCGTGCGTCGTTGCTCGCTGCTCGCTCATTCGCCGTGCGTTGTTGCTCCCGAGTCGCTCGCTGGCCCGTCACTCGTGGCTCGCTGCCCTGACAGGCGGGAAAGGAGGCATGCAACAAAGAGTGGGGTGGGGCGGAGGGAATGGGGCAGAGCGGAGGGAAGGGCAGCAGGCGAGTGAGTGCAGGCCAAGGAACAGGCACGAGATATGTAAGACCATTAGCAAGAAAGACTTCACACGGAATGGAGGAAACTGAGGGGTGGTGGGGGAGGAGGGAGGGACGGGGGGGAGGAGACATACAGCGAAAACTGGAACTAGAGAGAAGGATGGGAAGTGGGATGGGCGGAGCTGAACTGGAAGCAAATGAGCACATGGCAGCACGGCATGGGAGGGGTGGAGAGCGGTGTTTGCGACCTACTCAGGGGTGTAGAACTGGGAACAGTGGCATACCTTGATCGGTCACGGCCAGCCCCATACTCTCCCTGGTAAAAGCGCTGCCTCCCTGCAGTGGATGGTCCCTCTGCTGTGGAAGGTCCCTCTGCTGTGGATGGTCCCTCTGCTGTGGATGGTCCCTCTGCTGTGCCACAAGCTCTTCAGAAGGCGGGAAAACCGAGCTCCCTGCTGCCCACTGCGCTTGGCAACCGGTTGCTGCTGCTGCTGCTGCTGCTGCTGCTGCTGCTGCTGCTGCTGCTGCCTTTGCTGCCACAGGGGGGGAGGTTGAGGGACGGGGGGAACAGGATGCATGCAACAAGAACTGGAGCAAGCGAGACGCATGGGAAGGTGCAGGAGTGCATGAAAACGAACGAGTCAAAACCACAACGACATGGAGGGGTTGGGAGGAGCGTGGGAGGCGAAGGGAGTGTGGCGAATGGCAGCCCGTGGCAGTTTGGCAGCGAGCGAGCTTGCAGGGGGGGACTGAGGAGGAGGAGGACGCGGGCATGAGGATGAATGCATTCTATTCTAACCCCCTACAACTCTAATGTACATGCGCTCAGCTGCCTTTTGCCACGGCCCACCATCGCCACACGCCCTCACACTCCCACCCGCACTCGAACAATTTTCGAAAAGTTTTGGAATCGTATTGTGCGCGAAAAGCGAGACAAGAGAAACGGGAGTGGAGTTGAGAGGACTTCACCGGGAGTGGCTGTGGCTGAACGCTCTGGCTGAACGGCATAGCTTCTCCTCCGACTCTCTCGTCCGTCGCCCGTCACTGAGGCGCGTCGCTCGCAATTCGCCGCCCGCCGTTGGCCGTGTGTCGTTGCTCGCTTCCCGCTCGTTCGCCGTGTGTCGTTGCTCGCTGCTCGCTCATTCGCCGTGCCTCGTTGCTCGCTGCTCGCTCATTCGCCGTGCGTCGTTGCTCGCTGCTCGCTCATTCGCCGTGCGTTGTTGCTCCCGAGTCGCTCGCTGGCCCGTCACTCGTGGCTCGCTGCCCTGACAGGCGGGAAAGGAGGCATGCAACAAAGAGTGGGGTGGGGCGGAGGGAATGGGGCAGAGCGGAGGGAAGGGCAGCAGGCGAGTGAGTGCAGGCCAAGGAACAGGCACGAGATATGTAAGACCATTAGCAAGAAAGACTTCACACGGAATGGAGGAAACTGAGGGGTGGTGGGGGAGGAGGGAGGGACGGGGGGGGAGGAGACATACAGCGAAAACTGGAACTAGAGAGAAGGATGGGAAGTGGGATGGGCGGAGCTGAACTGGAAGCAAATGAGCACATGGCAGCACGGCATGGGAGGGGTGGAGAGCGGTGTTTGCGACCTACTCAGGGGTGTAGAACTGGGAACAGTGGCATACCTTGATCGGTCACGGCCAGCCCCATACTCTCCCTGGTAAAAGCGCTGCCTCCCTGCAGTGGATGGTCCCTCTGCTGTGGAAGGTCCCTCTGCTGTGGATGGTCCCTCTGCTGTGGATGGTCCCTCTGCTGTGCCACAAGCTCTTCAGAAGGCGGGAAAACCGAGCTCCCTGCTGCCCACTGCGCTTGGCAACCGGTTGCTGCTGCTGCTGCTGCTGCTGCTGCTGCTGCTGCTGCCTTTGCTGCCACAGGGGGGGAGGTTGAGGGACGGGGGGAACAGGATGCATGCAACAAGAACTGGAGCAAGCGAGACGCATGGGAAGGTGCAGGAGTGCATGAAAACGAACGAGTCAAAACCACAACGACATGGAGGGGTTGGGAGGAGCGTGGGAGGCGAAGGGAGTGTGGCGAATGGCAGCCCGTGGCAGTTTGGCAGCGAGCGAGCTTGCAGGGGGGGACTGAGGAGGAGGAGGACGCGGGCATGAGGATGAATGCATTCTATTCTAACCCCCTACAACTCTAATGTACATGCGCTCAGCTGCCTTTTGCCACGGCCCACCATCGCCACACGCCCTCACACTCCCACCCGCACTCGAACAATTTTCGAAAAGTTTTGGAATCGTATTGTGCGCGAAAAGCGAGACAAGAGAAACGGGAGTGGAGTTGAGAGGACTTCACCGGGAGTGGCTGTGGCTGAACGCTCTGGCTGAACGGCATAGCTTCTCCTCCGACTCTCTCGTCCTTCGCCCGTCACTGAGGCGCGTCGCTCGCAATTCGCCGCCCGCCGTTGGCCGTGTGTCGTTGCTCGCTTCCCGCTCGTTCGCCGTGTGTCGTTGCTCGCTGCTCGCTCATTCGCCGTGCCTCGTTGCTCGCTGCTCGCTCATTCGCCGTGCGTCGTTGCTCGTTGCTCGCTCATTCGCCGTGCGTTGTTGCTCCCGAGTCGCTCGCTGGCCCGTCACTCGTGGCTCGCTGCCCTGACAGGCGGGAAAGGAGGCATGCAACAAAGAGTGGGGTGGGGCGGAGGGAATGGGGCAGAGCGGAGGGAAGGGCAGCAGGCGAGTGAGTGCAGGCCAAGGAACAGGCACGAGATATGTAAGACCATTAGCAAGAAAGACTTCACACGGAATGGAGGAAACTGAGGGGTGGTGGGGGAGGAGGGAGGGACGGGGGGGAGGAGACATACAGCGAAAACTGGAACTAGAGAGAAGGATGGGAAGTGGGATGGGCGGAGCTGAACTGGAAGCAAATGAGCACATGGCAGCACGGCATGGGAGGGGTGGAGAGCGGTGTTTGCGACCTACTCAGGGGTGTAGAACTGGGAACAGTGGCATACCTTGATCGGTCACGGCCAGCCCCATACTCTCCCTGGTAAAAGCGCTGCCTCCCTGCAGTGGATGGTCCCTCTGCTGTGGAAGGTCCCTCTGCTGTGGATGGTCCCTCTGCTGTGGATGGTCCCTCTGCTGTGCCACAAGCTCTTCAGAAGGCGGGAAAACCGAGCTCCCTGCTGCCCACTGCGCTTGGCAACCGGTTGCTGCTGCTGCTGCTGCTGCTGCTGCTGCTGCTGCTGCTGCCTTTGCTGCCACAGGGGGGGAGGTTGAGGGACGGGGGGAACAGGATGCATGCAACAAGAACTGGAGCAAGCGAGACGCATGGGAAGGTGCAGGAGTGCATGAAAACGAACGAGTCAAAACCACAACGACATGGAGGGGTTGGGAGGAGCGTGGGAGGCGAAGGGAGTGTGGCGAATGGCAGCCCGTGGCAGTTTGGCAGCGAGCGAGCTTGCAGGGGGGGACTGAGGAGGAGGAGGACGCGGGCATGAGGATGAATGCATTCTATTCTAACCCCCTACAACTCTAATGTACATGCGCTCAGCTGCCTTTTGCCACGGCCCACCATCGCCACACGCCCTCACACTCCCACCCGCACTCGAACAATTTTCGAAAAGTTTTGGAATCGTATTGTGCGCGAAAAGCGAGACAAGAGAAACGGGAGTGGAGTTGAGAGGACTTCACCGGGAGTGGCTGTGGCTGAACGCTCTGGCTGAACGGCATAGCTTCTCCTCCGACTCTCTCGTCCGTCGCCCGTCACTGAGGCGCGTCGCTCGCAATTCGCCGCCCGCCGTTGGCCGTGTGTCGTTGCTCGCTTCCCGCTCGTTCGCCGTGTGTCGTTGCTCGCTGCTCGCTCATTCGCCGTGCCTCGTTGCTCGCTGCTCGCTCATTCGCCGTGCGTCGTTGCTCGCTGCTCGCTCATTCGCCGTGCGTTGTTGCTCCCGAGTCGCTCGCTGGCCCGTCACTCGTGGCTCGCTGCCCTGACAGGCGGGAAAGGAGGCATGCAACAAAGAGTGGGGTGGGGCGGAGGGAATGGGGCAGAGCGGAGGGAAGGGCAGCAGGCGAGTGAGTGCAGGCCAAGGAACAGGCACGAGATATGTAAGACCATTAGCAAGAAAGACTTCACACGGAATGGAGGAAACTGAGGGGTGGTGGGGGAGGAGGGAGGGACGGGGGGGAGGAGACATACAGCGAAAACTGGAACTAGAGAGAAGGATGGGAAGTGGGATGGGCGGAGCTGAACTGGAAGCAAATGAGCACATGGCAGCACGGCATGGGAGGGGTGGAGAGCGGTGTTTGCGACCTACTCAGGGGTGTAGAACTGGGAACAGTGGCATACCTTGATCGGTCACGGCCAGCCCCATACTCTCCCTGGTAAAAGCGCTGCCTCCCTGCAGTGGATGGTCCCTCTGCTGTGGAAGGTCCCTCTGCTGTGGATGGTCCCTCTGCTGTGGATGGTCCCTCTGCTGTGCCACAAGCTCTTCAGAAGGCGGGAAAACCGAGCTCCCTGCTGCCCACTGCGCTTGGCAACCGGTTGCTGCTGCTGCTGCTGCTGCTGCTGCTGCTGCTGCCTTTGCTGCCACAGGGGGGGAGGTTGAGGGACGGGGGGAACAGGATGCATGCAACAAGAACTGGAGCAAGCGAGACGCATGGGAAGGTGCAGGAGTGCATGAAAACGAACGAGTCAAAACCACAACGACATGGAGGGGTTGGGAGGAGCGTGGGAGGCGAAGGGAGTGTGGCGAATGGCAGCCCGTGGCAGTTTGGCAGCGAGCGAGCTTGCAGGGGGGGACTGAGGAGGAGGAGGACGCGGGCATGAGGATGAATGCATTCTATTCTAACCCCCTACAACTCTAATGTACATGCGCTCAGCTGCCTTTTGCCACGGCCCACCATCGCCACACGCCCTCACACTCCCACCCGCACTCGAACAATTTTCGAAAAGTTTTGGAATCGTATTGTGCGCGAAAAGCGAGACAAGAGAAACGGGAGTGGAGTTGAGAGGACTTCACCGGGAGTGGCTGTGGCTGAACGCTCTGGCTGAACGGCATAGCTTCTCCTCCGACTCTCTCGTCCGTCGCCCGTCACTGAGGCGCGTCGCTCGCAATTCGCCGCCCGCCGTTGGCCGTGTGTCGTTGCTCGCTTCCCGCTCGTTCGCCGTGTGTCGTTGCTCGCTGCTCGCTCATTCGCCGTGCCTCGTTGCTCGCTGCTCGCTCATTCGCCGTGCGTCGTTGCTCGCTGCTCGCTCATTCGCCGTGCGTTGTTGCTCCCGAGTCGCTCGCTGGCCCGTCACTCGTGGCTCGCTGCCCTGACAGGCGGGAAAGGAGGCATGCAACAAAGAGTGGGGTGGGGCGGAGGGAATGGGGCAGAGCGGAGGGAAGGGCAGCAGGCGAGTGAGTGCAGGCCAAGGAACAGGCACGAGATATGTAAGACCATTAGCAAGAAAGACTTCACACGGAATGGAGGAAACTGAGGGGTGGTGGGGGAGGAGGGAGGGACGGGGGGGAGGAGACATACAGCGAAAACTGGAACTAGAGAGAAGGATGGGAAGTGGGATGGGCGGAGCTGAACTGGAAGCAAATGAGCACATGGCAGCACGGCATGGGAGGGGTGGAGAGCGGTGTTTGCGACCTACTCAGGGGTGTAGAACTGGGAACAGTGGCATACCTTGATCGGTCACGGCCAGCCCCATACTCTCCCTGGTAAAAGCGCTGCCTCCCTGCAGTGGATGGTCCCTCTGCTGTGGAAGGTCCCTCTGCTGTGGATGGTCCCTCTGCTGTGGATGGTCCCTCTGCTGTGCCACAAGCTCTTCAGAAGGCGGGAAAACCGAGCTCCCTGCTGCCCACTGCGCTTGGCAACCGGTTGCTGCTGCTGCTGCTGCTGCTGCTGCTGCTGCTGCTGCCTTTGCTGCCACAGGGGGGGAGGTTGAGGGACGGGGGGAACAGGATGCATGCAACAAGAACTGGAGCAAGCGAGACGCATGGGAAGGTGCAGGAGTGCATGAAAACGAACGAGTCAAAACCACAACGACATGGAGGGGTTGGGAGGAGCGTGGGAGGCGAAGGGAGTGTGGCGAATGGCAGCCCGTGGCAGTTTGGCAGCGAGCGAGCTTGCAGGGGGGGACTGAGGAGGAGGAGGACGCGGGCATGAGGATGAATGCATTCTATTCTAACCCCCTACAACTCTACCTACATGCGCTCAGCTGCCTTGTGCCACGGCCCACCATCGCCACACGCCCTCACACTCCCACCCGCACTCGCACATTTTTCGAAAAGTTTTGGAATCGTATTGTGCGCGAAAAGCGAGACAAGAGAAACGGGAATGGAGTTGAGAGGACTTCACCGGGAGTGGCTGTGGCTGAACGCTCTGGCTGAACGGCATAGCTTCTCCTCCGACTCTCTCGTCCGTCGCCCGTCACTGAGGCGCGTCGCTCGCAATTCGCCGCCCGCCGTTGGCCGTGTGTCGTTGCTCGCTTCCCGCTCGTTCGCCGTGCCTCGTTGCTCGCTGCTCGCTCATTCGCCGTGCGTCGTTGCTCGCTGCTCGCTCATTCGCCGTGCGTCGTTGCTCGCTGCTCGCTCATTCGCCGTGCGTCGTTGCTCGCTGCTCGGTCGTTTGCCGTGCGTTGTTGCTCCCGAGTCGCTCGGCCGATATGGCCAAGGCCAGTCACTCGTTGCTCGCTGCCCTGACAGGCGGGAAAGGAGGCGTGCAACAAAAAGTGGGGTGGGCCGGAGGGAATGGGGCAGAGCGGAGGGAGTGGGGCAGAGCGGAGGGAATGGGGCAGAGTGGAGGGAGTGGGGCAGAGCGGAGGGAATGGGGCAGAGTGGAGGGAAGGGCAGGAGGCGAGTGAGTGTAAGCCAAGAAACAGGCACGAGATATGTGAGAATATAACACGAATGACTTCACACGGAATGGAGGAAACCGGGGGGTCAGGGGGGGATGGAGGGACGGGGGGGGAAGGAAGCATACAGCAAAAACTGGAACAAGAAAGAAGGACGGGAAGTGGGAGGGGTGAGCAGCATTGGAAGCAAATGAGCACATGGCAGCAAGGCATGGGAGGGAGGGGTGGAGAGCAGTGTTTGCGACCTACTCAGGCTTGTGGAACTGGAAAAAGCGGCATACCTTGATCGGTCACGGCCAGCCCCATACTCTCCCTGGTAAAAGCGCTGCCTCCCTGCAGTGGATGGTCCCTCTGCTGTGGAAGATCCCTCTGCTGTGGATGGTCCCTCTGCTGTGGAAGGTCCCTCTGCTGTGGATGGTCCCTCTGCTGTGGAAGGTCCCTCTGCTGTGCCACAAGCTCTTCAGAAGGCGGGAAAACCGAGCTCCCTGCTGCCCACTGCGCTTGGCAACCGGTTGCTGCTGCTGCTGCTGCTGCTGCTGCTGCTGCTGCCTATGCTGCCACAGGGGGGAAGGTTGAGGGACGGGGGGAACAGGATGCATGCAACAAGAACTGGAGCAAGCAAGACGCATGGGAAGGTGCAGGAGAGCATGGAAGCAAACGAGCCAAAAGCAGAACGGGGCGAGAGGGGTTGGGAGGAGCGTGGGAGGTGAAGGGAGTGTGGCGATGGCAGGCCAAAACATTTTGGCAGCGAGCGAGCTTGCAGGGGGGGGCTGAGGAGGAGGAGGACGCGGGCATGAGGATGAATGCATTCTGTTCTAACCCCCTACAACTCTACCTACATGCGCTCAGCTGCCTTGTGCCACGGCCCACCATCGCCACACGCCCTCACTCTCCTAAGACACTCCTTAACGATTTCGCATAAACAGAAGTGAGTCAAAGAAATACCAGAAAGAGGGAATAGGTGCACTTATCAGAAAGTAGCTGCGGGCGAAATGCTTCGCTCGACACGGAGGCGCGTCGCTCGCCGTTCGTCGGTCGCAGCGTGCGTCGTTGCTCGCTCGTCGCACGGTCGCTATGGCAGACGCCGTCACTCGTCGTGCACTGCTCGTCGTCCGTCAATCGCCATCCGTCTCTCAAACGTTTCGCTGGTTGTCGTCCGACGCCTCAGACTCATGCTCCTTCACCGTCGTAGTTCCCTCTCGTCGCCGTTCGCGAAAGGAGTTCTCAAGCTGCCCGAATCGCCTTGTCGTTTGCCGTCAGTAGAATCTTAATCGCCTTGTCGTTTGCCTTACGACTGAACCGTCGCTGTAGTCGAATCGTAATCGCCGACGCTTGAGAGCTGATGTCGACGCCGGCGAGCGCGACGACTCTCGTCCGTGACAGCACGCAAGATGCGACGCTTCACGTCGTGAGCAGCACGCTTCACCAAGATGCGACGTCTCACGTTGTGAGAAGCATGCGATTCACCAGGTGCGACGTCTCGCGTCGTAAGAGCAGCACGCGATTCACCAAGCTGCGACGTCGCGCGTCGTGAGCAGGACGCGATTCACCAAGCTGCGACGTCCCGCGTCCGTGAGCAGTGCGCGATTCACCAAGCTGCGACGTCGCGCGTCGTGAGCAGCACGCGATTCACCAAGCTGCGACGTCGTGCGTCGTGAGCAGCACGTGATTCACCAAGCTGCGACGTCCCGCGTCCGTGAGCAGTGCGCGATTCACAACGTCAAGAAAGCGACAGCCGATGGAATGATCGCGTGCATCTGACAATCTCCAACCCGCCGATCACCACCACGCTCCTCCACTGCTCCAGACGGCAATGACATGCGACGACTCCAGACGGCGATAACCAAGATGCGACGACTCCAGACGGCGACTATCAAGATGCGACGACTCCAGACGGCGACTATCAAGATGCGACGACTCCAGACGGCGACTATCAAGATGCGACGACTCCCGTGTTAATCGATCGTCACCGTCGTACACACCCCGTCAACGACAAGCATAACTAACGTGCAGTTCTGTCGACGATCTCTGTGACGCCGTCGCCACAGCCAGCGCCATTGTTAAGTAGCAAAATCCGTTTTCGAGAACTTAAGAAAAACATCACCTCTGATACTAATGGCGATGAATAGTCACGGGAAACAAACTATCTGGCGGTAAACGGATGGTAAAGTCTTTTGAGTTCAGCTACATGAACCATGGAAACTCCTACCAGCACGAAACGTGCTGATCAATCTGCTGTAAAAAACGTAGCGGTACGTGGTAGTGGCTGCTATAGCTGAGGTACTTGATGAGCCATGGATCCAAGGACGCCATGAATGTAAGAAGCAGCCATGGAAACGAGCAGAGCCTAAGAGCGGAGAATTCCTAAGCTGCCATGGACTCGGACATTCAGGGAAGATCCAGTCCAGACTAGTCAGTGGGATAGCATGCTGACCTAGTCAATTCCTAGCTGACCTAGTCAATTCCTAGGTGAGGAGGGAGAAGGGGATGCTTGGTGGACATGTGAAGGCCAGGAAGGCGGAAGGAGCAAACTTTCCCCTCCGCTACTCATGGGTTGCTTGCGAGAAGGCGGGACATTCTGGTTTGTCAGTTTCGCGAGGCTGGATGTTGGCGAGATGTTACAGGTTCGCTGCTGGAAAATCGTCTCCTGACGAAAGGGCCACCGAGTTTCGTTAACAGTTACTGAATACTGCCGCGTTTCAGCTGAGCGCGAGCCGCCCAATTGAGCGGTGGCATCTGACAGCCGTGCCAGCGATGGCGGGAAGTCGGTTCGCCCATCCATCGCCTCACGATCAACTTGATCGAACGGCGAGAGGTTCCTGAGCCCAAGCCAAGTCGCAGGGAACTTGATAATAAGCTTGATAATTTCTGTGTGGCCTGTACATCTTCAAAAGGTTCATTGAGTACCGTAACAGAGCTGACTTCCATATGGCCCATGTATTCAGACCGTACCTTATGTAAAAACACAGGTCTGGTCAGCATTCATGGAGGAAATGGATAACAGTAACTCATAATAATACCACAATGTAACAAAGCTACGCCGGGAATTTGATGGTAACCAGTCACTCAATCCGCTAGTAACGTGCATGTGATGCAAGCGGCCGTACCTTGAGCTACAGCACAGAATCTGCAATTTTACAGAGTATGTACAGCACCAGTAAGATGTCATATACATATAAACACAAACCGTTGAAACGGTATAAGCAAACTCACACATGGCTGGATAATGGACAGCTCAACACAACACAAAGAAAAACAGACCCATCCAATCAGAGCAGGCTGCAGCAGCTCGCCTGCCCCACCGCTCCCTGCAGCAACTCCCCTCACCTTCCAGAGACCTACCCCTTCAATTGAAGCACCTCCCCATTGGACACACTCTCTTCCATTTCCGCTCAGTTGAGGCATCTGAGGCTGTACTCTGAGAAGCTGCGAGGAAGCTGCGAGTGCAGCAGCTCGTGGTGCTGCAGCAGCGGCGGGGGGTCGGGTGAGAAGCACACCGTCAGCACCGTCACGTTGTCACACGCGTGCCGCCGAATCGCTTCCTCCACTAGATCCTGTGACACGGAACAGAGCGGTTGAGTACGGTGTAATGAGTCAGGCAACAAATTATTGCAAGACCAGAGAGAGAATGGCCACACAGTGAAAAATCAGGGTAAGGAATCAGGAATAGCTTGGGGAATCTGAATCAGCTTGAATCTGAACGTGAGCGCAGAAGCCGCACCTTGGAGCACTGCTGGGGGTCGTTGTGCAGTCTGAGTCGCCTGCGAGCGAACGCCACCACCTCCTTGCTGCCGCCGCCCTCATTGTTGAACGCGTCCCACAGCCCGTCACACGCCAGCACCAGGAACTCGTCCTCAGGGTTCGACAGATGCGCCTCGTGCACCTCCGGATCCGCTATAAGCGGCCCCTCTATAACATCACTGTCGCTGTCGCTACCAGGGGATGGTAGCGACGCCATCGCTGCTGTAGGGCCTGTACAGGTGGCGCCACTGGCACTTCTCACAGCAGCGTCCGCTTCACTGCTGCCTGCAGCATGACTACCACCTGCCACATCCGTAGCAACATCTGTAGCAGCACCTGTAGCACCACCTGCAGCACCACTTGTAGCAGCATCTATAGCACCAGCTGCGCCAGCTGCACCGGCTGAATCAGCTGCGGCGGCTGCAGAGGGGCGGCGGGTCTTGAGCCCCTCAATGTGCCAGTCGCCCAGCGCCCTGGTGACAGCCAGCTGGTCGTTCAAATAGTCGTCCACCACCCACCCGCCCGCCCGCTCCACGCGCGCGCGCTCGTGCTGGCAGACAGCGCGGTGATCCCGCGACAGCTCCACCGCCTGCCCCCTGCGACACAGCACCGCCCTGCAGTCCCCCGCGTTCGCCACGTACAGTGACCTGCAGGGGTTGAGGGGGGTGGGGGGACGAGGGGACGAGGTGATGGGGGAATGGGGTGATGGGTAATTGGGTGAAGGGCGGATGGGGTGAAAGGGGGGATGAGGGGATGGGGGGATGAGGGGACGAGAGGACGAGGTGATAGGGACGAGGGGATGTTGGGATGGGGATGGTAGGTGAGACGCAGCGTCATTAGCGACAGCACCGCCTAGAGCTTGACTACTAGGAGTGGGTACAGCGGCACCCACTCCGCACTGCACGGCCGTCATCCACAACGCACACAATCTATCGGCTATGGTCTCCCCACCTGCCCAGCAGCAGCACGGCGAGCGCAGTGGTGCCCGAGTCCATGGTGTGCCCCTCCGCCGTGCGCGCCGTCTCCAGCTCGCGGTCCGTGCGCAGGAACGCGTTTCTGAGCGCGCTGCCCACGTGCAGGGGGAACGCTGCGTCGCGCAGCACGTGGCCGAGCAGCTTCTGCCGCGCAAACTGCGCTGCCGCGTCGCCGCCGTGACCGTCGAAGATCTGCGTGAGGAGCGAGACGGTTTAAAAAGGCCGACGGGACAATTGACGAGACCGGAGGGGGGGTTGAACGACGGATAAGTTCAACGAAAATGACTATACCAGAGTTAGATGACGAAGATTGAGCTCTGTACCACTGAGAAGGAATTGGCGTGTCTACGTGATCTACTCTTAACCAACCCTCATGCCGGACCTACTCGTGACTCACCCCGTAAAAAGCTCGCGGATGCGCGACAGCCACGTCACCAATAGCCTGTGACAAATCATCTACCGCCACGTGGGCGTCCTCCATCCGCTGCCGGCCGCCTTTATCCGCGCTAAAGCCGGAGCGGACGACCGGCCACGTGGACCCTCCCGACCCTAAAACAGACTGATCTAGATGCTCCGGTTGCTGAGATTCACCCCCATTCTGCTGCTGTTGCTGCTGCGGATACGGAATCCGCGAGTCTAAGGAAGAGGGTGCGATGGGTGCGGTGGGCGGCAGGTGCAGCGTGCAGCTGCTGTGCGTGCGAGCGCCGAGCATGCACAGCGTGCCGTCCTGCGGTAAAAGCGGAGGTAGAGAGGGACGGGAGGGAGGGGTTGGGGTAGGAATTGCGGTTAGAGTGGTTCACGGAAAGACAACTGGCCTCAACAGAATAGCGGGCGTGAGCTACTTATTCACCGCTCGATCGTGAAAACGGAAGCTATGGATCGTTTGGATGTAGCGACAGCACGCGACTTACTTCTATTCGAGGCGGTTTCATTGAGTAATTCACCATGGCCCGGACTGATAAAGCTCGAGATAAATAGGTATGCTCTACGAAGGTCGAATTGCTTTCTTAATCGTCAGGCCTAACACAAAAGCTTTCAATAATAAGCTTTCAGCACAAAAGTCGTTGCGCGCACTGGTCAGATTCGTATAGCTGCTGTCAGAGCAACACTAGCCAAAACCGACTCAAATACAGAACGTGGAGTTGGAACAAGTCAGTACTGTAGTGAAGAGGTTGCGGCGGATGCACGCATGTGCTCCCTGACGCTGGCTTGGTGTGCGGTGGAACAGAGGGAGATCGCCATGAAGCTGCACGGCAGCCTCGGGAACCTCCAGAATGTACCAGACGTCAGGGAAGTAGTTCGGGTGAGGGGTGCGAACGAGTTACACCAGGTTCGGTGAGGTGAGCGGAGCAGCTTCGATGAGGAGCTAGGGGGCTTTGAGAGGAGCTTATTGGCCTACCGGTTGCGAGGGAAAGTGACAGGCACGTGGCTTGGTTGTGCCTGACTGACGTTTGGGTTGCGTTTGGTTTGACTGAAAGCAAATCATACATCTTGTTTATGGACGGTTGCGATGACGGGACAAGGCTCGGGTGGGTACGTAAGGACGCGGCGATGCATCCATGACCGACAGCGCAGCAAGGGTTGTTACGGGAGATGTGATGACAGACGTGACCACTGACCACTGGCCAACCAACCAGATTACAGCTGGAGAGGGGAAACGGCTCAGCTGGAAGTCAAAACAAAACGGAATGAGAGCTTCGAACGATCTGCCATGAAACGTGGCGGCCAGGATGAATCCAAGGGCTGAACTGGCATCAGTGACAAAAGGTACACAAAGATTTGACGGCTCCGATCGGATCTGTCGCAATTGGCTTCTTGTTCGCTGGCAGGTGGTCGTGTTGTTTACTGAGCGGCTGGCCCGAGCTCATGGTTGGTTTGGCGAGCGATGAAACCCGAAGAGGTGAATCGATACATGGTAGCTTCAGGATGTTGTATACTAATCTGAACCAGTACGTAACAGCAACCGACGCATCCACAACCGCGGACATCCTTTCTCCATATTTCCCCCCTCCCCGCACCGCAGCACCTGGGTTTCATTCCTCCCTTGCTAGCGCCTTATTTCTTTTCCGACCATTTGAAGGTCCCGGAATTACGTACCTATCGTGCTCGCGTAGGTAATAACCAGCCGTTTCTTACTCACCTGGTCACGCATTGGGTCCGCCGTCATGAATTACCGGTTCAAAAACCTCCTCGGTGCGCCGTACCGAGGAGGTAACATCCTCCTTCGCGAAGACACGAAACTCTATTCGCCAGTTGGTAACCGCGTCAATGTCGTAGACCTGACGGCATCGGAGTCGAACACGCTTCCGTTTCAAACGATGACTGACGTGTCGCTCATCGCGCTCTCCCCAGACGGAAACCTTCTAATAGCCGTCGATTCAGATGGACGGTCCAGAATGGTCAACGTGCATCGGCGCGTAGTGCTCCACCTTTTCAGATTCAAGTTCCCCGTGGGAGCCCTAAAATTTAGCCCGGACGGAAAATTCTTCGCAGCAGGGGTTGGGCGACAACTCCAAATCTGGCACACGCCGGAAATGCGAAAAACATTTTCGCCCATGCGACTGTTCAAGTCGTTTTCAGGAGGTTACGACAAGGTCACAGCGATTGATTGGTCCCCCGACGGAAAGTGGATCGTGGCCGCAAACAAGGATCTAACGGCTAGAATTTACTCCCTGGATTCCCTCAAAATGTACAAGCCGGTGCGGCTGACTGGGCACAAGGATGTGATTGTAGGCGCGTTCTTCTATGGAGGCGGCTCCGCGATTATGACCGGCGCGGGCCCGAACTTCAAACGGGCGGACGTGGCGCTGGGTTTAAGAGGGGTTCAGGGGGGACAGGGGGGGCTGGGGGAGGGCCCTGGGGGGGCGGAAAAGGCGCTGCGGATATACACTGTTTCGAAAGACGGCGCGCTCTTCTCGTGGTTCTTTGATCCGCTGCACAAGGGCTGGCGCAGGCGGAAGGGGAAGGGGCGCAGGGCGGGCAGGGGGGACCAGGGGGATAAGGGGGTTAAGGTTTATAAGAGGTCTAAGGAGGGGGAAGGTGGGGAGGTGGTAGATGATGGAGGGGAGGATGGGGATGATGAGGAGGAGAGTGCGGATAAAGAGGAGGGGGAGGAGGAGGAGGATGAGGAGGAGAATGAGGGGCATGATGTGAAGAAAGGAATGAAAGGGAAGACGAGGGAAGGAGGAGAAGAGGAGGAGAAGGAGGACGAGGATGAGGAGGAGGATGAGGAGGAGGAGGAAGAGGAGGAAGAGGAAGAGGAAGAGGAAGAGGAAGAGGAAGAGGAAGAGGAAGAGGAAGAGGAGAAAGGGGCTGAGGTGGAGGAGGATGGTGAAATGGAAAAGGAAGCAGAGAAGGATGACGAGGAGGAAGAAGAGGAAGAAGAGGTGGGGGACGAGGAAGAGGAAGTGGAGGAAGAGGAGGGGGATGAGGAGGGGAAAGAGGAGGAAGAGGGGGCAGAGGAGGAGGAGCAGCCAAGGAAGAGATCACGGCTGGTAGAAAAGGCACCCGCACCCGCCCATGTGCGCCGGGACTTCCGATTGGACGAGGGCAAGTGGCGCTTGGAGGCGAAACATTTCTTCATGCTGCCCAAGGCGCGCCTAACCTCCTGCGACCTGCACAAGCCGACCAATCTCCTCGTCGCCGGCTTCTCCTCGGGCATCTTCGGGCTGTACCAGCTGCCCGAATTCGCCACGCTGCACCTCATGTCCATCTCACGAACCAAAATCTCCTCCGTCTCATTCAACGAGGCGGGGGACTGGGTGGCAGTGGGGTGCGCTCGCCTGGGGCAGCTGCTCGTGTGGGAGTGGCGCTCTGAGACCTATGTGATGAAGGTCCAGGGTCATTTCTATGATGTCAGTTGTGTTGCTTTCTCGCCGGACGGCACCCGTGTGGTAACCGGGTCGGACGATGCCAAGGTGAAGGTCTGGAGCCTCGCATCGGGGTTCTGCTTTGTAACGCTCGCCGAGCACACTGGCCCGGTTACCGCCGTCGCCTTTCTCCCGTCCGGCGGCGCGGGGTCGGCGGCGGCGGCAGCGGCGGGCGGCGCGGGCGGCGGCGGGGGCGGCGGGGCGGTGGTGAGCGCGTCCCTGGACGGCACAGTGCGGGCGTTTGACCTGCTGCGGTACCGCTGCTTCCGCACTCTCACCACGCCGCAGCCCGTGCAGTTTGCGTCGCTGGCCGTGCACCCCTCAGGCGAGGTGGTGTGTGCTGCGAGTCAGGATGACTTCCAGGTGTACGTGTGGAGCATGCGCACAGGGCGGCTGCTGGACGTTCTGTCAGGGCATGAGGGGCCCGTGCATAGCCTCTCGTTCTCTCCTACGCAGGTGAGCAGAGCAATCTTGGCAGGTGTAGTTAATTCCAGGTGTGTGTGGAGCATGCACACAGGCTGACTTTCACTCTCTCCCATCCTGCCCTCCTCCCTTTTTTGCTCTCCAGAGTTCTCAAAATTAACTCCAATTGACCTCCCCCCCCTTCCCATTGTACCACAGGAGCTGCTGGCATCAGCAGCGTGGGACAGCACGTGTCGGCTGTGGGACGTGTTTGAAGCCAAGGGCGGCACAGAACCCCTCCCCCACTCGCACGAGGTGCTCGCCCTCGCCTTCCGCCCGGACGGCCGCCAGCTGGCGACCGCCACGCTGGACGGCCACATCCACCTGTGGGACCCGCTGGAGGGCGAGCTGCAGGGGAGTATCGAGGGACGGCGGGATTTGGTCGGCGGGGCGGCGGCGGCGGGCGGCAAGGGCGGCAAGACTGGGCGGGGCGCGCTGCGGCTGGGGGATAAGAGCTTCCGGAGTTTGTGTTACTCGGCGGATGGGTGCTTCTTGCTGGCTGCTGGGACGAGCCGATATGTGTGCCTGTATGACGTCGCCGAGATGGTGAGTGAGGGGTGCTGTGCCGTGAAGCGTGCTTTTTCATGTTCCGTATTTGTTTATTCCTGAACAAATTGATCAACTTGGGGAATCTCCTTGCCCTTCGTCTCTCATTCTCGCCTAAGCTCCTTCCCATCCTCCCGCCTCCCTCACCAGCTGCTGCTGCGGCGCTACCTGATAACGAGCAACAAGTCGCTCTCAGGCGCCATGGACTCACTCAACCCGCACCGCATGACCGACGCGGGCCCGCTCGACATCCTCGATATAAGCGACTCCGATTTAGACGACAACGATCTCGACGACTCGCACCGCCAGCGCCGCCACACGCTGCTTGGCGCCGACCTCCCCGGGGCGGCGAGAAACGGCAGCCAGCGCCGCCCGGAGATCCGCGTGAAGGCAATCCAGTTCTCGCCGACCGGGCAGTCCTGGGCGGCAGCTACAACCGAAGGGCTCGTGGTGTTTGGGTTGGATGAAGGGGTGGTGTTTGATCCGTCGGATTTAGATATGGATGTTACACCGGCGGCTGTAGCGGCTGCTACAGTTGCTGGGCTGCATGCCAGGGCGATACAGATGGCGCTGCGGCTGAATGAGACAAAGCTGCTACAGGACGCGATGATGGCGGTGCCGCCCGAGCGGCTGGGTGCAACAGTGTCGGCCCTGCCAAGGAAGCGGCTGGGGAAGGTGGTGGCGGCCGTGGCAGCAATGCTGGAAGGACGGCCTGAGTTGGAATTCGTGCTGCTGTGGTGCAAGGTGAGGGGGGAGCGGTGTGAAGAGTGCAGAAGGAGGAGGGGATCGTTTGAGGTAGTGGCAATGGGAGTGGGCGAGTGATAGGGGATGGAAGGGAGGGACGTTGACACATGCTGCCCTCCTCCCTCAAGCTGGCACTTCTCTTGACTCGCATGTTGTTACCGCAGCAAGGCATTCGTGGTGCCGGCTGTCACGTGCTGTCTCTCACTCCCCACTCGCTCACACCCTCACATCCCCCCTCCCTCCCTCTCCCCCCCCCCCCCCCCCCCCCCCGCGCTCTCCCGCACTGCAGGAGCTGGTGCTGCAACACGGCAAGGCTCTCGCCCTGC